CGTTTATTTCATTTATTGAAATCGTCCGCGTACAAAACATATCATCGTAATGATTATTTTTGTCCATATTACAATAAAAAGAAAATATCGAAAATAATAATATCATTGTTGCAGTGAATTTTATTTTATAAATATTTACCTAAGTGTTTTCCCAGTTATTATTAAAACCACTTGGAAAATCAAAAAATGATCTCTTTAAAGTACACCATATAGTTTCAAATTGCAACAAAACACGTTTCTTGTCTCTTTTTGACGGCGGCAAGATTTCTGATAGAACTTTTTGTAACATTTAGCTTTGCTCAGAATATAATATAACATGAATTTACACGATGTATTGAGTGATTCTTATTTACTCAATTAGGTACATCGAATAAATCACTCGATTATGAAAATCAAAATAATGGGTATCGATTAGATAATGACTCTTATTTATTTGATTAGGTTACATTATTTCGAGTTTTTAAGTATAGTTTATAATTAATTTTAAAATGAATTAACCTATTACCAAATTCAGAAGTAAGAATATTATCGAACGACAGATAGATTATGGATTGATAATTTACCTTGTCCAGGAGCAGGGTAAGAAATTCATAAACTCCAAATTCGTACTGGAACTATTTACAGTGCCTGATGGTTGGTAATAATTTGTATTTTTTTTTATTTGAGGTTAAAGTTCGAACTCTTAATTTGAAATATTAGCTATAATTTCTTATCACGGAACCGAATTTTGAAAACAAGGCTGAACAGACCCCATCCCATTAATTTAATGACCCTGGATCACGAATTAATATACAGGATACCAACGAACATGTGATAAGTGAAGCTCGAACCTTCTCACTTTGACAAGGCCACTAACACTATCTAGTGTACTCTTTACAAGCTATGTCAATATTTATTATAAAATAGATATGCAATTTATTACATACCCTACTCCTCCAGCCAAAACTTTAAACCGGTTTTAGTTGATTTTTATACCAATTTTACCTTAAAGCGCTAGCTGTCATGCCAAACAGTGAGAACCAGGCGGTTTCAGAAAAACATTGGTAAAACCTTTTCGTTTGGTATCCTGTGTATCTTAATTCGTGTCCTGGACTGTGATAGACAAAATTATCGACTTTTCCATTTAAAAATTTTACTTACCTGACATTGTTTTTGGCTTTTACCTACCTTTATTTACACCTGAAATGGTTTTTTAACTCCTAAAAATTGCATGTTTTAGCGTTTGGATGAGATTTGCATTTTTCGGAATTGGAGAACAAAGCGTATAGGTACCTCATAATACCTACTTATGTCATATTTAATTTATAATACTTAATAGTATCATCTCCAATCGAGATAATAATGTTATTATTTTAACGTCGTAATAATTACTCTCATTTTAGTTATCCAACCTGATTAAAATCGTAGAACGACGTAGTAAGAAGACCGAGAATCGTTATCTTCAAAATTACCGTTTATTTTTATTGTTTCTGTAATATAACGGAGATGCATATCGTGGCATATTGACCGCACCACTGGTTTTATTTCTTTTAGCCTAATATTATTTCTGTCGGATATATTACGATTATAATAATAATAAATTATAACAATACGATCAGCAGTTCGCGGACCTAAGTTTTTTTTCAAACCACACGATTACACAGTTATGCCATACGCTAATTAAATTAGGCAAATCAGTCTTTTTATCCGGAAAAAAAATATTACCTATACTATGTACGTATAAATGTGAGACCATAATATAAACAAGTATTTTTGATACACGTATCGTTTCTAAATAATATCTTACATCAACTTTACGACCGCGAAACATTTCAGTATATAATTTTATTCTTGCGCTTTGCCCAAAGTCGTGTTCCAACGAAACTCTTTGCAATACCTATTATGGTTAGGTTAGGTTTTAACGCGTAATAAAAATCCCATCAAACGGTACAAAGACAGTATAATATACTGTCTTTACATATTATGCATATGTATATGTATTATATTATAACCCGTCGGTGAACTACATCGGACACTGTATAATAATAAAGAAAAAACAAATTCTATTCGATTCGTAATGTTATTCTGGTGGCACCTATCGTGTTTTGTTGTATACGGTTCATAGACCGGCCACGACAATATAGCAGCTATTTGTGTTTATTGTTTACCATGCACGTGGGCGGGATACCTATAAATCATTTGCGGTTTTTTTTTTTTTTTTTTGGACTTTTACGATTGAAAATCAAGACAGGAGGGAGGAGGGGATAACTAAAACAGATCCCACGTTTAGAACGTTTATACGCGTAATTTTATGTCGAGAAACAAATATTAAAAACGTAAGGACCTACGTGTGTTAATGGGTTTTCATACATCCTACGAAATTCTCAAAAAGACTGAAATAGGATTTACCTTCATACCCCGGGTTATATTACTAGGCAGTGGCGGCTTGTGATTTGGACGACGATCGTACCTCCTGCGTAAAATCAAAGGAAAGAACAAATTACAATTTTATTTTAAATGTATGAAATATGTAAATCGTATTGTTGAGTTGGTTAAAAATGAAGAAATGATAAAAATAACTTCACTATGTTCACTATTAACCGTGAGCGACGCACGTATAGTTTCTTCGGAGTACCGGAATTCAATACGGTAATACGCGCAAAGTGGCAAATGTGTGAAAAAGTGCCTATAATAGGGACGAAACGCGGATGTCGTCCAAGTCGTTAACAAGAATCCAAATATACATAAACGCGCATGATCACACGATTTACATGTATGCGTATGTCGTCCCAGCGATAATAAAATAAAATCAAGAATAATCGGTCTTTTCAATTTACACGCTTGCAGAAAACAGAATATTATCCAGCGATAACATTTAAAAACGGTTAATCACTAATGGCCGTAAAAATGTTGTTTGGTGATATAAAAGCATGTATATTATTATATTTTTGAAATTCTCAGACAGAGGACCACTTTCATATTGTTGCACTCCCTTTATCGGCTCATACGAGCTACCACTGCCACTAGGATGTCAGTTATTCGAAGCTGTACTAAGTCGTCCCTATGATACTACCTAATAATAGATGTGTACGGTGCCGGTGGTGTGACGAAGATCGATTTATTTCAGACACGTGCCTCGACTTAAATAATATTAAAGGCAGTAGCTGGTTCAACGATCTTAGGCGGTCCTCATATTTAGATTTTAAACAATAATATTGTATGTATAAGATTCTGAACGCATTATGTTTTAAATTCGGAGCGAGCAAGGGACCTATTGGCTTTACTATAATGTGTTTTTTTTTTTTGTCTATAAACAACTTTTCGAACAGAAAATTTGGTCCAATCATAAAATAACGTCAGAAATTTTTTTTTCATTTTTAATCTAGTTTTTCAATAAAAAAGTATTTTTTTTTTATTTTCGCTGTAGTTTTCCTAAAAATACGTTATTACGTAAATTTAAGTCGTGTTCATATAAAAGATAACATAGTTTTATGTGAATCAGAGATGGAGCTACAAGTAAATATGGTAATTAAGAAATTAAATACATCTGAGAATAAATAAATAAAGTTTAGAGAATAAAAAAAAAGTATGTAGAATTACAAACTGTATTCAATTATGTTCAACAAGAATGGCCTAATAAATATAAACGTAAAATCACTCATTACATTCGTCGGCTGTGATCTAGTGGACCGCCAAGCAACTAATTTTACTCTGAAGGCTTATTTATTCATATAGATAGCGTTGCTATATTCAAATACTTGTTATTTCCTGTTTGGTTTGAAATAAACAAATGAAAGTTACAATAATAGGTTATTATTAAGGATTATTAAGTACTAGATCGTTAGATAAAATATCAATACATCGACATATACGTTTCACTTTGTTAAATCTGTAACTTTCCGGTATGAATAAATCAAAATTGACTTGATTAGGAATTCAGATTTCGTAAAAATGTATCAACTGACAACAGAACTACAAATTACAAAAAAGACCAATTTTGGATCGGTTTTGTCCCAGTTCTCAATTAATATTCTGTAAAAAAAAAAAAAATATTAACATACATTTAATACATTAAATTTTATATATTGATTTTTCTAAACCATAATAGTTTACGTAGATTAAATAAAAAATTTGCAAAAAAATTGTTGGCCCATGGGGGGATCGAACCCACGACCTTCGCGTTATTAGCACGACGCTCTAACCAACTGAGCTAATGGGCCACATGTCTGACTGTTGTGATTCTCAACACTATTAGGATGACAAAACATACAATTTGTTATTATTTTGTAATATTTTTAATTTTCTTATCATTTAGCTACCTACTTCATGACTCTAGGCAAAAATTTTATCTTAATTTTGTGTTACAAATTTTAGAAACGTTTTAATCAAATAATTCGATTAACTTTCTTAAAACGTATTTTAAATACTTTTAAAACTGGTGATCGTTTTTTATCAAGTATCCACCAAACACTTAATATTTTGGCTGAATGTTCTTTTATTATATTTAAAATTGGTTTTTACGGTTATAGTTGGAAGTAAGTACAGAAAAACAAATAAGCAACATGATTGTCGTTCGCAGCTATCGTTCCGGCGATGCGACTACAAGTATAACTTAAAAAAAAATTGAATTTAATGTAGTATATTTTTTTATAAGAATTTTAATATCAATAGTTGTATAATTTTTTGGTTGATTTCTGGGTAACCATGACATAAAAAAAAATAAAAATTAACATCACTGTAAAATCAATATATTACTCGCTTCGTTCAGAATCTAAAATGAAAATAATTGTCAACACAACTTTTATTTTAGTTGTTAGTTTAAAATGCTTAAGTACAAATAATACAATTTATTATCGCCAAAAATGAAAGCAAAGGAAAAATATGCAAAACAATCACTTAAGTTTCCAAGTACATTTGATAACAAATAAAAACAATCAAACAAAATAATATTATAATATGAAAACAATTTAAAAATCATTGCCCCATTAAAAATTTTTAAGAATAACTGTTTACACACTAAGTTATATTTCTAAATTCCAATCATTTTTAATCATGTCAGCACCTTTTTCTCCGATCATTATAGTTGGTCCATTAGTATGAGCAGCTGGAATTTCTGGTATAATCGATGCATCTATAATTCTCAAATGTTGTATACCATGTACACGTAATTTTGGATCCACCACAGTTGTAGGATCTTCCATGGGTCCCATTTTACACGTACCAGACTGGTGATAAATCGTGAAGCTTATTTGTTTAGCAGAACATTTCCAATATTCGTCAGTGTCGAATTTGTATTGAGTACAACCTGGTAATGGCGTATCAAGTATTTTAGCGTTTAATTTCTTCATTGCATCTGTTTCTAACATTTTTTGCACAATTCTTACTCCGGCTACAGCTACGTCCAGGTCAGCTTCATCGGTGAAGTAGTTTGGATCGATCAACGGATGATGAAATGGATTTCTGTCTTCCAACCATAGACGACCTTTACTTTTAGGCCGCATAATCATTGGAAATATTATAAAGCCATCCATTTTCTCAGTAGGCCTATACACCTTATTATAAATATGTGTTTCTAAACCAAACAATCTATAAACATCTTTATTACCAGAATACAATCCTGATACCAAGAGTAATTCTAAGTTTGGATGCCCATTTTTAAATCCAGGTTGGTCTAAATCTATAAATGCCAAGGCTTCTGCGCCACCGGGTATTGTAAAAGGACCTTGGTGTTTTGAAATAAACGTATATAAATTTAGAGGATTTGACAATATCCTATTGGCCTTTAATGAAATAGTATCGTTTATAATAATACTCAAACTTCCTAATGCCACATGATCCATCAAATTTTCACCAACCGGTAAATTTTCAACTAACGGAATATGTTTATCTTCTAAATGCCATTTTGGTCCAATTCCTGATAACATAAGTAACTGTGGCGAGTTAATAGCCCCAGCAGAAATAATTACTTCTTTCTTTATAAACACTCTGTATTTTTTGTTTTTTGAAATAAATTCTACTCCTATTGCTTTTTTTGAATGTTTTTCAATTAATATACGTGTTACCATGCTGTTTTTTTTTACAAACAAATTAGATCTGGTTTTCGCCGAAAACAAAAACGCTGTGTTTGTACTGCAACGACGACCATCTTTCATAGTAGCCTGAACAAATTTTCAAAATTAAAATTATAAAACTATATACTTATAACGTTTTATTATAATATTTAAATAAGTGTATACGAGGTACAGTCCATGTGAAATATTAGTGTGCCAAATGGCCGAATCAGAATTACCCGAACCCAGTTTGGACGAAATTAAGCTATTTGTAAAATCCTTACAAAATAATAAAGCACCGGAGGAAAAAATATCAACTCCCAAAAAAGACCTATAAAAACCCTTCATCTCTTTATTTTATGTATATGGAAGAGTGAAAAAATATACTGAAACACATCTATCCTATGCTTCATCTTTAAGAAAGATGACCCAACAAACACGAAGATCTATAGATGAATAAATCTGCTGGATACTAATTATAAGATACTCTCTACTACTATATTAAACAAAATCAAAAAGTATGCCTTAGAGATAATTGGTAAATACCAGTGTGGTTTCCGAGTATGCTCATAAGTGTTACTTATAAGCATATATTTTCACGAATGAAAAGTGTCAAATCGAAAACTAGAGCTCGGTTAACTGACATACACTTAGAAAATTCGCTGATAATCATCTCAAATTCAATCAAATATAGAAAAATTAGTAAAATGTCAGTTATCAGTTATCAAAATAAATATATAATAAATAATTTGTAATACACAATTGAAATATGTTAAACTATATATGTTTTAATAATATAATTTAATTTTTGTATAAAATACACTTGTTTACTACGAATGCGGCCTGTAAGATTTATAGAAAATAATACGTGGCCCACTACATAAAAAGGTTGAAGTCCCCTGGTTTATATGATAAGCAATAGTTACAGATATACATTAAATTCCCTTCTGTATCCTACCTTCCCAACTTCCCACCTACAACAGTGGCTGCACCCGTTCCCATTATCCTTGGACAGCTTTTATAAATCCGCTAAAAATTATCATAAAGGGAGCAGAAATTTCCTGAACTAAATACTATATATTATTAAATACTAAATACTTATATTATTCTTTTCTACATGGGATAAAATTATTATGGCGTTTTTTGAACTATACATAAGCATTTTACATTTTCGAATTTTTCATTAGTAGGCAAAATATATGGATAAAATTGATTGACCAAACAAAAATACTTGAAAATTTAACACACGAGGTTCATTATTCCCACATACTGCAATGACGCGCCCATTAGCAGTCTAGCTGTCTATAGGTCTATAGGTCTACCTGTATATAATTAATCCCGACTTGTCTTTCTCCATTAACGTCTATAACAGGGAGTCCAATTTGTGATCCAGCATCCACAAAAGCTTTTGCTATAGTTGTCCTGTACGGAACATCGCTTACTGATAATAATCCACTCTGTCCACGATAGTCCATGTCGGCATTAGAAACACTGGCGTTTTCTGATTTGATGAAATACTTCAAAACTTCATCATAATTCCATCCTATAATATATAATATCAAAATATTTCGTATAATTTAAACTCGGTTAAAAAAAAAAACCTAAATATTTACCCGTGTTTCCCATTTTTGCCCAATTGTCGTAATCCTTTCTATTACCACGTGTGTATATCATGTAATTTAATGTACTACTACCACCCATGACTTTTCCTCTTGGAAATTTACATCGACGCTCTTCAAAACCTATGCAGGTGGTAAATAGGCAATTATTATTATATAGCTTATACATTTTAATTTGTGTAGTTTAAAATTAGGTATTTACTTAAACAAGAATTATTCATTGGGACTGTTCTGTAGTTCCAATTAATTGACATAGTCTGTAATCGGCTGGCAGCTGCTGGGATGTCCATAAATTTCTCAGCATCTTGACCAGCTTCAATTAACAGTACTTTCCAATTTTCTATCTTTAAATAAAAAATTCATTATAATTTCAAATAAAAATATCACGCATCTGAATTTGAACCCTTATAGTAATTATTATTTGTATTTCTTTTTATAGCTTTTTCTATTTTTCGAAATTTTTAATATATTTATTGTAAAATTTAAAAATACATTTTCCCTACGTTCAGCATTAGTGATGGCCGCCTCCACCGCCTTTCCAGCGACCGTCTGATGATGCGGGCCGAACGTCAGCCTGGTATCCAGGACTACGCCAAGGTAATGGAGGAAGCGTCACACTGGCACCATGAAACCGCCAGCACCGGTGCTCTAAATGAACCTAACCTAACCTATTTGTGGGCTATTACTCTATTAGATTTATTGTTCAGTAAGTTATAAATCAAAACAACGAAAAATATATCAAAAGTTTATAGTACATTTGTTTACATATTTAGTGATTTTGTAGTTTTAAAAGCATATTTCTTAATTTTACCATTTTTAAATGGATGTTTGACGATGCATTCTAATATTATTTAAACATTTAGTAATAAATAAGCAGATGCGTTAGTTTTAAAATTATCATTGGTTATTATTGTATCGTGTTTTTCAAATATTTATCTAATAGCTTCTATTCAAATTCATAGGAAATCATTGAATGGCTATAGTTGGTTGCATTGGTATACCCAGGCCAGTCGTTAGGATACAAGCAAGACTTGCGTTTCTTTAGGGAGGCATAGCATAGAATTTAAAAAAATTGAAGCGGAAAAATGAAATTTATAATCGTCAAATATACGACAGTAAAATGTTCGCTTTAGGGCAGAAAATATCTTACGACGGGTCTGAATATACTTACCCGTAAACAAAACTATCTGTTTCGACTAATCCATTAGCGAGTTAGTGTTGTTCGTTCTATCGTACAGTTTTTTCGATTATATTATTTTTATTTCATTGCTGAAAATGCTGAAAATGACACAATTCGTGACATATCGTTTAAAAAGTTTCGTATTGGAGTACGGTACGGATATATTTGTAACCGATGGAATTATTCTATTTTGTATGTTTATCAGATGGAAGTAAACACTAAACAGTGACAAGACAATTTGTTGTAACTCGGCACATTAATACTGAAAAACATTAACGAGCAGTTATTAGGAAAAATAAAAAGAATAAAAACACCGAAGTTCAACAGCTAGTAATTAATATTCCAAAAAAGTGTTTACTCTCACAATATTTATGTAAAGCTTTATTGTCAGCATTTTTATCTCTTTCCAAAATGATTGATTACTTTATAAGTATATTTGTACTTTTTTAAATGTATTAATATTTAATACTTTTTAAGAGCATTAAGTGACAAGTCTTAATTATTAGCAACAGTTTGGTGCAAAAAAAAATAAAAGGTCACTGTCTGTTTTCAAACATTGTTGAATCGTTGTGATAACATGCATCGATATACGATGTTTTGATAACAATTAATAATAAACAAGACGTATACGTGAATAATAACTAGTATACTAAGTATACGCATTTCTGTGAACGTATACCAACGTTTCAGGTAGACATAAAAGTTTTGAGTATACACATTGTCGAAAAACCAAGAAGTGTGTACCTACAGTATACCCGCGTATACGCTCGATCAGTGGCAGTTTTTGAACTTTTTTCTGGGGATGCGTCCTATGATATTAACTTAACATATATTTAACCTACAAAATATATTTACCCAACATTTATTAATTAACTTGCATATTAATGTTTTGCTTATATACACGGTTGTCCCTATTTTTTAATCAACAACAGAGTTTTAGTTTAATGTAAAAATTATAACACAAAATCTACTTTTCTTAGTCTAAACTCGGAGTCTGGGAGGTCCAGGCCCCCTGGACAGACTCCCCCCCCCTCCGAAAAACCACCACTGCGCTCGACCGCATCAAGAGAGAAAGTAAATACAAATAATTTAGCTAACTAATAATATATTATTTCATTACCTCTGATAGTCGATTCGCCACAACTATTCCAGCACTGCCTGCACCGACCACGACAAAATCGTATATTGGACTACGTTTGTTATAATTTTGTGTTTTCTCGTTGCGTTCATTCACTACTTCAAAGGTCGACAGTGGCGGTTTTAAATATGTAGAATCAGCTTGGGGAATAATGACATAAATTAGACAAATAATTAAACAGAAAATCGAAAACATTATCGTATAAGAAAAAAAAACAACAAAACAACTTAGTCCTGTAGAAGCAGAGAACGTAGTAAATACACTAATTACAAATCAACTATATATATATATACACCCACTGTACAATATTATATTGATTTTATATTATTTCGTATGCAATATTTTACTGCAACACGTAATATCACAAAATGTGTTATTTTAATATACCTATAACATGCATATTGCTTCGATAGTTAATGCTTGTATTTTCTGACATTCAATAATCATTATACAGAACGATTCTCCCAACTGGAAATAAAGTTAATGTTTTCTGAGTTAACGAGTGTTCTCAGTTGAGTAGAATGCTATATCTGTTGCCACTTAATCCACTGTGCAAAGCTTATTAATTATTTTTATTTTCGGTGTATTAATTATCAACGATATATTAAAATTATGTCATAAATAAAACATTAATGTATTATTTTATTGAACAAATAAAATTAAAGTTAACAAGGAACATTCCATAAATATTAAAGACTACCTATTACATATTAATACCATTGTGATATTATATGATTGTTGTTTTTTTTATATATAAATCTAATATCTAATATGACAATTTTTTTTTTGACTAGTTATTTTAAAAATTATTTGCGACGAAAAATGATGGACGGGTAGTCGAACAGTTGAGTGTTCGGTAATGGGATACATGCTCGGGTTTTCGTCATAATTATTCTGTTTTGGTTTTATGCCTAGGTTATATTAGATACTAGTGTTACTCATTATTTTATTTTGTTATTGTAGTTTTTGTTATAATTGAGGAAAACCAGAAAATGACGAAAAATAAAAATTGACAAATTCACGACGTTACGATTTCATTATTATACATTTTTACGTTTTTCGTTTTTCTACCAGAAATATTGCTTCAATAATAAAAAATCAAGTTATCTTTAAAGTTAAATTTTTTATCTAATTTGTGACCAAGAGAGTCGTGTTTTGAGATTATTTTTAGTTTTTTTAATAATTGAGCAAACCCAAAAAATACGCAGAAAGAACGGGAAAATTTACAAAAATAATTCTTTTATTACTTAAAATGTTTTTATTAATGCCGTTCAATCGGAAATATTCATAAAGACGTGAAATATCGATAGAAAACTTATATTTGCTTTTTCTAGACGTCGTAAAATTTTCAAAATATTTGAGCCATTTTTGAATTATTTATAGACATTTTATTATTTTATCTATGCGAATTTTCTGCGTAATTTATATTTGGTAGGTATTTTGCGGATAAAATTGTTTAAACAGAAATGCTTGAAAATTTGACAGGAGGTTCATTATAGGTCGTACTTAAACTTAGTGGTCAAAATAAAAAACTTAAGTGTGATGTAGTACTTTTTTTTATATTAGACTAATAAAATAAAATGTTGACGAAAATTGTAAAAATTACGACCTTTCAAAACATATTTAACCGAACTTCGCTCCAAATTGTATTTTGTTATCAAAGGTTTATCGTAGATTACAGGTATAAATTAAATAACTTCAGCTTTTTTTTGGATAATATAATTATAATACCTACATAATACAAGTTCGGTACATTATTATACAATTATATTTAATATATTTAATTATAAAAAAAAAAGTAAAATTAACACTTAGGTAGATAAATGTGTATTGTCTACTTATACTATATTATTACAAAGCACATGAAAGTCTTGAGCATAATTACAAATTAGTTAAAAATTTAAATTTATCAAAATTAAAGTTTTAGATATTGATATACTCAGTGGTGCTTCCATCAATTTTGTTGAGAGTATACTATAATATCTGTATCCTGTGTAAAACATAGGATATTTTATATATTTCTTATGGTTTATGAGTACCTACAACTTATTGTTTACAGGGAAATAGATATAAATTAAATAAAAAATTAAATTGAGATTTTCAAAATAAAGCATTCAAATATAAAAAAAAACAAAATTATCTTCAAACCTAAGAAAATTGTGCATATTTTAATTATAATTGCTAAAATTTGTAACAATTTGTGTTACTATTATAGTTTTAAGCGCCATAAGCGATATTACCGATCAGTGATTGTAATATCTCTTGTCAATTTTGTATGTTTGAAAATCTATATTTGAGAGTATACGCAGTATAATTTGATTTTTAACAAAATATTACGGCAAATATTATGTAATACGCCACTGAGTATATCTGCCCAAACATGTTACATTTAGATTTTTATCTTAAAATAAAATACATAAAATTGTTATTTTCAAATAGATATAGCAATTTAGAAAACTTTTTTAATAACAACTCTTGAATGTTTGAAAAAAACAATTGTGTTAGTATCCATCAGCAATGATTGATGTTGGCTGATAAATTGATGTTTCCCTAAAACAGAACATTTTAAAATCAATACACATGTAGATAACATAGTATTCTAAAATACTTTAACTAAATATAATACTAAAAGATGATAATTTGACTATTTTAACAAAACAGATTCCTATCTACCTAATCATTTATTTAATAACAAAAATCATAATTTTAATTAATATTATGTGACATTTACAATATTATAAACAATATGTTTCTCTTTCATTCATTTGTAACGTATGCGCCATGTGCATACAATAATATCATAGGTATAATATATTTTAATAACTAGAATAATTTACGAGTTTAAGCCATTAACTATTATTGTAACTAACTGGAAAAACATGCAAACCATAAAAATGTTGGTAAGTAAATTTTATTGACATTATATTTCATAACTCATAAGTGATAAATAATAAACACAAGCAACTTATCAGCTTTTCGGTACGTATCTAACCTAATTATTGAAGCCCTGAAGTATATCTTTTTGGGAACACCCATAATTATAAAACTATTGTATTATTGCACACTATTATAATAGTTACACATAACGATTTGTATTGGTTTGTTTTCGTAATATTTTTCTTAGGTTATTACCTAATTTGATACTGGATATTGGTAATAAAAGAAACTACTTTGAAAACAAAATCAATTTTCACTAAGATTAAGAAAACTCAAAAAATTAAGTAACAAGAAATACAAACAAAGTTGTGCAATTTGAGATTACAATTCTATTCATAATCGTTTTTGAAAATCCATAATTGTCATTTTATATATCAATTAAATTTGAAATAATTTTTTTGAAGTGTTTTTATAATAGTTTTATAAAATAATGAAAAATGGATTTTAATAATCATAACATTGTCATAAAGTAATGTGACGTGTAAAATATACATTTGTTTTTCGTGTTTGAACTGACAGCAGTGGAGGATTTGTTTTTCAGAATACTTCGCTGGTGCCAAAAATATACATCCTTGAAATTATTAATAGGTAGTATTGATTAATTAATAATAGATATGAATAGGTACTAGGTGCCATTTATATAGAATATTTCTGTGTTAATGTTATAGTGCATCATATTATAAGTAATTATGTATTTATTATGTTTACAATTATTTTTTCTAATTATTATTTTTCAAACCGCTGCACGCTGTTTATATTTTAAAAATTAGATAGAACTATATAATAATAGGTACCTACAATAATAGTGTTTACTATTTAGATGGGTACTTTAAATTTATTTTATATTTTACATTTTACTATAGCTACAAATTTAACTTAAACTTTGTTTAAATAGATGGGTTAGAATTTGTATAATATGTTTATGAGAAACGATAAACTATAATATAAATTACAATAACAATGATTATTGTAACTACAATATTGTGTTTCAATTAATAATATTACCTTAGTTGATAGTCATGAGGATAAGAATTTTTATTATTGAATATCCGGTGATAGTAAGAAAGTGATTTTTTCCTTTTTGCACAGCACATCAACGTTCCCATTGTAAATGGTATAGCCAATATGACACCAATCAATATTCCAATTAACAATATACCGTCTCTTTCGGGACGATTATTGTAAAAATCTAAACATCGCATATGGTAATTACGATGATCCAAATCGAAAATCGAAATCCCACTCATTTCAATCGGTTTTTGACAACTATACAATACAAATATTAAATATTAGTTACTACACCGATACGTAGGTATATGAATATAAGATAATTAACAAAATTACTAATTACGTAAAATCGTTTAGAAATTCGGGGTGTCTTGATTCTACCATTGGAGCTAAAGTAGATACAAGCCATTGGTTTACACAGTCACATATCCACTTGTTACCTTGCAAGTTCAATTCTTCCAATGTATCCCATCTACTTAACAAATTGCTGTCCAAGTATTCCAATGCATTATAACTTAAATCTAACTAAAAAAACAAATTTTAAATAATTTTAAATTTCATTGAAAGAAATAACATTACTATTTGTAATGTCCACGTACTTTTACTATAAGAGGCCATAATTCACCTTCTGATTCGTCATTTAATTTGTAACTAAATGCACTTGGATCTATTGATGTAAGTTTATTATTATACGTACAATGAAATTCCTCAAGATTATTGAGAAGACTGAAAGAATGTGGTCCTATAGAGTTCAATTCTGGCATGTGTGATAAATGAAGAATTTTCAATGATTTCATTTTTGGAAAATTCCTTAATAGTTAAAATATTAAAGTTAAAAAAAAAAAAATTGTAAAAAACGATAAATAGGTACACTATTGTTAAAAATGAAATTTACTCACAATATATTTTCAATGGGATTATAACTGAAATCTAATCTACGTAAGGCGTGTACTTCAGCCAGTCCTGGTGGTATTTGTGTAAATTGATTTTTAGACAAATTTAATACTTCTAAAAATCGAGGTGTGTGTAAAAGATGGTTAGGCAACTCGCTTAAAGATGTGTTAGATAAATTTAAAACCTTAAAAGTTAAAAAAAATAGTGAAAAAGGTTATTAATTAGAAAATATGTTGTATTATTTATAAACATATATATATATAAATACTTTTAACATAGGCAATGAAGCTAATGCAAAACTTGTTGATCGATCAATGACTTTTAGAGGATTTCCTGCGAGAGACAATGAAGCAAGATTACTAAGTTCTTTAAACACATGCGGCATTAGTGAATGAATATTATTGTAATCAAGCCGTAAATGAAGCAAACTACTCAATTTCGAAGAATCATCGTGACTAATCTATATGGTAAATTGAACAAAATAAATGATTACCTAAAACAATGGTAGCGCGAAGAATTTTTTAACTTGAATCACCGATACAATTGTCCACCCACCCCTACCAAAAATACCCAAAAATCTACAAACCAGGGATAAAAACCAAGTTTCTTTGGAGGTCTTTAATGAAATTTGACAAATTTTCGCAGTCTATAATTGTTTTAATGACTTTTGTTTTATAAAAACATAATAATTTCTGTTATATTTTTGAACACCCAGGCACACCCTTCCACTTGGTTTTTCGGGGATCACGTGATTCAAATGTACCTCCTTCGCGTCGCCACTGACCTACAAATAATAATTTAAAAATATTAATTACAAATAATAAACTACAAATATCTACCTTAAATACATTATGCTTTAGCTTTTCAGTGGTTAAACTATTGTAACTGAGGTCAAGTTCTGCGAGGAACTTCAAATTTATAAAGGCCATATCATCAATTACATTTATCTTGTTGTGTCGAAGTGATAAATATTTTACTTTAGACGTCGGCAGTTGTTTGACATGTATTATTTCATTATAATCAAACTGTATGATTGTTGCATTCTTGAAAATATCTGCGTGATCCCACAAAATATCTAAAATAAGCATATCGCCATTTTCCGTGCAATTTATTATGGCATTTTTACATGTGCAAGTATCGCATAAATAACATTCACTTTTCTTCGCACTAATCACAACAATAAGTAAAAAACATATTGTATTATTTTTCAAACCCCTGGAAATTAAAATAATAATTTATAAATGTAAGTATAACTCGTATAAAATTATAAAGTGTAATTTATATGCACAATAATTTCAAATCGCCTAAAAAGTATAGAAGGTAGTGAAAATGAAGAAAATCAATAAAACCATGTACTTACATTTTAACGAGAAGAACCGCGAATTAGGTAGGTACCAACAATTATCAATGAATTTTAATGTATGAACAGGTAGGTACAGTTTATAATGTAGGTAACGCGCAAAACAACGAAAAGGATTTCAAGTGCAATATAAATAATTGAATCTTATCAAAAAACAAACATTCTTCAAAAAACACCATTGTACGTAGGTTGGTAACGTAATTCCATTACTAAAGTGTACTTTATATATTTTAGGAAATTACACGGTATTCAAAAAATGCATAACAATAATAATTATATACTATTATAAGAAATTACAATTAACAATAACAAACTTTTTTTCTTTTCACTTAATAAGCTTTTAATCAAATAATGCATAATAATATTATTTAGCCATTAGAGAGGTATACCTATAGCGAATACATTTTGTTGGCACATTATTATAATATACCTGTAGTAGTCACAGGGTATAACAGCGATAATATAATATTAGCGTATTAATAATATTAAAATCATAACAATTAAATATTGTAATATCTTGTTGGTTATCGGTTAAAGAACCGTGATCTTACCATAAGCGTGCAATCTACAAAACGATTGCACCAATCGCTAAAATATGCATTATACACGTTCTATGGGCGGACTTTACAGACGGCTAGGAAACAATAAACAATTTTCTGTTGTTATCTACTTGGGCACTCAATGGAATTAACGTTGCATAAAATATAATGTTTAAATCTTATAGATGAGAACCTATTACCGATGTATTGTATCCAAAATGAATGTTGGTTATACGCGTTAGGGGACTTGGTGATGGTTTTTCAAATATTTTCTCAAATTTGGACATTTAAAGTTTTTTTTTTATTTCATTTTAAATCGAACGAAAAAATATGACGTTTTGTTAAACCGAAAAGTAAATCAAAATTGTAGAAAACTACAGTGTTTGATGGGTTTTGAAAACGTAATATTATATGGTTCGTAGTGTTGTATGATTAGTTTTTTCTAGCAGGTTACGCTGGAATTATTTTTTGAGATTTTAATTTTTTTTATAAGTAATTGGTAAAATACTGGAAAAGTACATATAGTACAATTTATTTATTTTCCAGCTAAATAATTAAATTTCTAATTCCAATTTACAACCTTTTTAATAGACATAAACTAAATTAACTAAAATAAGTACACTATCTCCAATCCCATTACATCACAATAACATAACATCAGTGCCACGATTTTATTTAAAATGTATTATGTATGGGTAGTATAATAGGGGTCAATTATTGAAATTCAAATAGAAATCTATACTTTTTTTGCAAACATAATGTGAAGACATTTTTTTAAATACATTTTAGTGATTGAATAATAATATCAATTTATTTAAAACTCTATGATTGAGAGCAGTGGCACAACCAGGTTTTTTTGAGAGGGCCACATATCTACATTAAAATTAAAATACGTTTTTAACACATATATATTACTTAAACATGGATGTAGGGGTGTAGCTAGATACCCTAAAGATTCCCACCCACCATAGTTGTGCCACTGATTTAAATCACTCTCAAGTGATTTAAATGTTTTAGAAAACAAATTCCGGAAAAAGTTAATACTTTCCGAGATAATGAGTATACCCACTTAAATGAATCACCTGGTACTAATGCAGCTATGATGGTTCGCTGAAACAAAGCGGCGCATTGTGTGACATCATTAGTTGGCATACGATAAAAATGCAATTGTTCAAAACATCAAATCGCATATTAAAGTTTTAAATGTTATTCGATCACTAGAATTGATTTACAAAATATCCTCAGATTATGTTTACAAAAAAAGTCTAGGTTTCCATTTGTAATTCATCCGTTGACCCCCGAAATCCCTACCTAAAAGTCTAAAAAAAAATAAATAAATAAACAATTTAGATGTTTGTAAAGCAAAAAACTTTCGTATTAAAATTTTTTCTCTATTTTGAATACAATGGTTTATAACTTTATTTACGTATATCAACAATCAACGTATACAAATTCGTTAGTATTTTCAAAACATTTTTTTATTTTTAGTTTTTATTCGGGGAGGGGGGGGTAAACCTCTGGCCCTTTTCATACCACCTAGGTATTTATAATATATTATACATGTTTGTGTGTGTGTGTGTGTGTGTATGTGAATTATTAAAACGCCCACCTCCTAAGATGCACACTCGAATACGCCACTGATATTACTTGTATAAACAGTGTTCGTATAATATTATGTTGTTCATTTAACGCCTTTCTGAATGATTTTTTTTTTTCAAAAAAAATATGTGTATATATTTGTAGTCAAGATGACGTGGTAAAATTTTTTGACCTTTTTTGACCCTAAAAAAGCTCAATATTTAATGTGTACCACAAATGGCACAACGAGCATCAAAACTATATATTTGTGCAAGACTTTCATGCATTAAATTACTTAACGGTATTATGTGTCATATTATATGAGACACATGCAGTTATAAAACAAAACTAAAATAATTACACCATATTACATGTATTTAATTATTTATTAAGTTGTGTATCACATTTATCTGTTTTCATCTATTTTATAAATTATAGTACGCAATTTTACCGCTAGATAAAAGTACCTTGTATCAAAATTATTTAGTTTTTCGTGCCGAATTTGGCCATGTAAGTATTGGAATCGAGTAATTTGTCAGTGAAATAATCGACACAAATGAAGTTGTGCCATTTTTGGTATAATATACGGAAAGGGGTTAAAATAATGGTGTTGGCCGTGTTTGTTAAAATTGGAAATTGGAAGGAAAGTCGTAAAGCTTTGGAATGTATTTACTCGGACTGTATAATTCTGGAACTAAAGTATATTTTTACAGAATGTAGAATTGTGGAAAAAGAAAATTTGTAAACCGTTACTGTCACGGACGGTAAAACAACACGGAATCGAAAAATATGAAAAACGTATTTTTGTACGAATTATCTGTTTGCCAATTGTAAACACTTGAAATGTATTTTACCGGAAAGGAAATGACAAAAATCCATATAATATCGGACTGTAAAAAAAAATGATGGCAATCGTATACGGACAGTAAGATTCCGGTAGAAAAAATGTAGGTACGTGTTGTGCTATTAATAGTCCTGAACGCATGTTACCAAACCCTATATAAACTGTGTATTCTATAAGACACTCATTATTTTGAAAAGTAATAACTTTTTTCGACAACTTAAGAAACACGTAGCTCTAAGATGTTACATTACCATTATTTTAGTCACCCTGCTTTAATATTTTTGGGACTGAAATAAATACCTTCTTTTGATTTTAAAACTACATCATAATTGTTTTTAATAACAAATGTTAAGGCTGTCGGAGCCGGTTTTCCAAATGTTCTCCATTTTATCACCAATCTTCCCTCTGATACCTGATACTCATTTATTTTTTAATGAATTTATTTATTCTGCTAAAAAATTCACCTATTTTTTATTTTATTTTTGTTGTTATTTGTTATAGGTATGGTGTAATCAACATACATATAAAGTTTTAAGATTATAACTTGAGTTCCCATACTTTATTTACATTTTTATGTCCATTACATACTGGCTACTCCTATGAGTAGGTCAGAAAATAACAATGTCATTTTAGTTAAATTATTTGGGTAGGTACTTATTTTAGTAACAAGAAATGTTTTATTTTTAAATAATTGTTATAGATTTAAAAAAAAAAATAGCAACACCTAATTTTATATTAGTTATAGGTATACAGTAAGAATTTTGAAATGAGAGGGGAACAAAGACAAACAAAGTTTAAAAAAAAACTGTACAATTAACAATCATAATTGATTTTATTGTTACGAAGATTGTTTAAACTTAAACATTTTAGTTAAATTTAAATTTATTAACATTCATTTTGACTAATCTAATAATAAAATACTTCAGTGAGATTTTGAAGAAAAGACATAAAACAATAATAAATAATGGCACGAGGTAATAATTATTACTAATAAATAATAATTAATATAACGACAATTTAACATACCTATCTATATTTAATTTTGCTTATCCTAAACCGTGAGTAAAACATCTCGACACGATAGGTAATAACAATAGTTTCAAATAATGAATGACAAATTGATAAATTTAACGATTGAGTATGATAAAACACAAATTTCAGTAGAACCACGCCAATAAGTTTATACTTATAATAGCAGTTGTTGCGTGAACTTGATGAAATTGACGCATGGCGATCTCTGATTTGGTAAGCGATTTTTTTATATTTTGTGTTTATTTATAAAGGAGGGTGAATATGTGGGTGGGTGTTGAAAAATTGTAATACGTCGTTGAAATAATAAGTTCCCGCCGCCATTGTATAATACTAGTATAATAATACCTATGGTGTTACCACAAAATATGTGAGGCTGCTGATACATATAACATAAACCAGGTTCAAAGATCGCAATAGGTATAACCAAAAGTCATCAGCCAAATTACTACCAAACAATTTGATAAGAATAAAGAGTGCTAAACGCATAAAATAAAATATACAAATACCATACGTATACATATTTATACGGCCAATGGGAGGGGGGGGCATGGCTCACTGCCCTCTTGGATACGTCACTGGGTACAGTTCCACAATATTTTAATACAAGATAAACAAATGTTATTTTTTTTTAGTATGTTTTTTATAAATGTATTATTATTATGATTATTACTAACTTATACTAGATCTAGATTACTAGCTATTGATAACAGCAGATGTCAATAAAAGTCATGTTTGTTTTAGGCTCTGCAGTGTTATCATAACTACGTGATACCTAATCTATCATTTAGCGGGGAGGTATTTCAAATCAAATAAAAATACATAAAACCACAAATATAGGTAATAAATTAAATTGTTACCTATATACTTACTATATACTACTATGTAACATATTACAATGAAAAATAAATTATACACGTAAATCATTAATAAAAATGATTGTACAAAAAAATAAGATTGTTTATAATTATTAGTTAATAATAAACAATATTTGATAGTAACACGTAAAAAAAAAACAAATCTGATTTAAATATGATCCTTAATAAGAAGAATAAGAATAAATTATATTCAACACTCTGAAAAAAAAAAAAAAACAAATGAATATATGCATTTTAAATGTTATGATATTTTAACCTTGTGTCTTGACTTTTGTTTGTAAAAGTTTAAGTAGTATAAGTAAATCTGTTTTGTATAGAATTCTAAATAATCATGTAGTTAAAGAAAAATTGATAGCTGCTATAAAAAGACAAAATTTTATTCCAACATATCACAGGATATGTAATATTCATTTCACTGACAATGATTTTGTACAACGGCCTGATATTATAAATAATAAATATAATATTATAAATAATTACATTAATTACTATTGAAAATATTTCTGAGTTCATGAATTATGATAAAATTTATCTGTGTATAAACACAACGAAATTGATAAAATTGAAAAAATTGATAAAATACCATAGCCTTCAACCTTCAAGGCGAAAAAGCGGTATCGCCCGGCCTGCTTGTGAATCTAGTTTATTATCTATATCTGTGTACTAGCTAAGCTCTATTCTAACTATTCCAGTGATGCCCAACCTGCGGCCTGCGTGCTCAGCGAAGGTTTTCTATGTGTCCCGTTATATTTTTTTTTAAATAAAACAAAATATTAAAAAAAAAAAAAGTTAAATTATTACAATATATTTGCGCTTTTTTCTATCGGACATTTTCAAATGGAAATTAATTTTTTTTTTTTTTTATCTATTGGAACGATTTCAGATAAAAATGCATTTACTATCTTGTGGATTTAACTATACAAATTCTTTTATGTGCATTTCGAACATTGCCAAATTAAAAAATAACCCCCTTATCACGTTACAGCTAGATACCTACTTACATTGAAATATGTTAGGCATTGCATTGGGTACTCATTTTTAATTAGGTAGATAAATATTTTTGTTTGCATAATGCAATGAAACTATAAATAAATAACAACATTGATTATAAATAGTACCTACACTTGTTATTATTATCAATAATATTATTTTTAATAGTTAGGTGTTATAGGTTGAATACTCAAAATATTTTATTTTAATAATTAGATATTTATAATAATAAAATAAAAATGGAACACTTTTCATGAAAATATCACGGCTGTGAAATGAGCGATACAAATCCAACAAAAATTTGATAAAAGCAGTTTTTTATGGAACCAAGATTAAACGTAGTACATATACTCCACTAGATGGTGACAAATGAACATTTTCTACTGATGAAATAATGTTGAATGATAGATAGGCATGTACGTTGTATAAGCTAAATGAAGCATTACAAACAATACTTATAATATAACACTTATCATTTTATCAATAAAAATTGTAATAATAGTAAATAATAATATTTCTTTATGTCTGCAGGTTTCCAGTGGTTACACAGAAAAGTATTGCATAAATATTTATTACGGTTTTTTAAAAATTCCCGTTACAGCTTAAATGGACGTGTGTCCAGTAGGTATAGTGTTCATGACAAATTATTGATTGGTTTTTTTAAATTTTGAATGAGTTTTGAAAAAACTTGACGCTTTAAACTACTATGAAATTAAATCTCTCAAAATTATCTAAAAAAATTATTTTTATGAAAAATAGTTGTTTATTCCATTTAACAGTCATCTACACATTCTTAGGTCTCTTCTGAAATTAAAAACACATCTAACAGTCTTTTATAGTACACAAGCCTATATTACAAACTATCTGGTCCTATGAAATCGCACTCTGAGGCACAATCAGACCTTTAAACACTAAATCCAAACAAGCCTTTCTAGCTATTTAATTATGTTTGACTGCTAAAACTTCTACGTACGGCACCAATATCTTATTGTACAATGAGCTAAAAATCATTACCATAAGATAAACAGCTGCCACATACTACATACACCTATGTTTCAAAATGGATCAACATTCCTACAGTATCATCACTTAAATTCAATCATATAAACTTATGGGTTACTCAATCAGATGCCTAGCAATATTTTCAATGCAGAACTGTTACATTTCATTTATTTTTAATTTAAACTAATCATGTTCAGTGTTTCTTATGTGAGGTGCATTTCTGTTTTTTACCATACTATTTTATTGTATTTTACATAACATTTACTTATTGTACACATTATTAATCATTATTAATGTAATACTTTATTTGAATTTAATACTTATTGTTTATATAGCAGATAGAAAGTATAAGAAATTAAGAAGTAGGGCTTACATGTATAGTGACATAATATTATGAAATAATTATAAATTAATTTAATTTTATGTTGACAATTTCAAAAATATACATGTCATTCTTTGAAGGGGATGATTTAAACTAGGGCTTACCTTAAGGATTCCCAACCTTTTTATATTCACATATCATTTACACATTTTTTACATAACACTTGACCCTAAAACTGTGTACATTATTAAACTTGCATAATTTTAACTTATAAACATTTAATGCACAACATTTAAATTAAATATGTAATTATTTATATATTAATAAACTACATTATAGCTAATAAATTTTTTTTCCCTTACCAAAAAATGTCTTTCCACACCACCTATGAGCTTTCCGCATATCACAGGATGGGAACCCATGACTTAGATAGTTAATTAATATTAATAAAAGAACAGATAACAAATTTTTAACATTTAATACATTATTTTTAACTTAACAAACATATTATCCGATTTTAATCTTAGTTAGCTAAGTTTACAGAAAATATAAATGTATACTTAGCAACCCCATGTAAATCTAAGATGGTTATGGTTTCAGTTATTGTTGTTTTTAATCATTGTATTTTCTAGCATATAATCTTAACTTACAATTAAGGGTTTCAAACTACCAATATACAACATTTAATATTATATACAATATCTTATAATAAAACAGGTAAATGTTAAAATTTTATTAAATCGTAATTTATTTTCCCGTGAATATTGGTAAACAAACATTTTCTTTATAATTAGATAATATAAGTAGATTTAAAAAAAAAATTATATAACATTTGAAATAAAAAAACATATTATATATAATACTTTATATAATTTTCACAGTTATGACTTTGTTATTGTTCTTGTGTTTTGCTCTGCTAGTGGTTTTTGTCCACCTCGTCTTCTTGATTTCTGAGCAGGTTGATTTTCATTTTCTCCAGAATTCTACAGAAATGAATAATAATATATAAAATCAACAACTTATGATTGATTAGAGATTTGATATGTCTACTCTTAATTACTTGTGCTTGTGGGTTGATTTTATGAGGTTTTTGTAATTGCCTGGCACCTACTTGTCCTGTTGGAGGGGGCACAGCTAATACATTACCAACAGCTTTTGTCCTACCTTCCCTGAACACTAATCTTTGACCAGGTCTCAAATACTCTGGATATTTAATGAATCTAAATCTGACTCTTGCCTTATCTCCTGTTCTTAGACATTCTTCAGACATGCTCAGTATAGATGCAGTTTGTCGAATACTACCACAATGAACTACAAAAAAAATAATAAGACTATAAATATAAAAATATATTGTTGAACACCATTGTCATTACTGATTATGAATATAATTTACCCATTGCTTGATAGCGAGAGCTAATCGTAGTAGGATGATGCAATACTAGTATTTCTCCATCAAACTCCCAAGTAGCAGATGGATTGAGTGTTGGAGAAACCATGACCATTCCTTTGCGTATTTGTGATCGTTTTATTTTTTTTAAAGCAAATGAGGCAGTTTGTCCAGCTCTTACTTCTCGCACGACCATTCGTTTACGATGTATACTCTTAACAGTAATTGCCATAAATTGGCCAACAGGATCAGGGCCCAACATAAGTGTGTCGTTTAAACGGATTGTTCCGCACAATGTCGTACCAGAAACGACTGTTCCAACACCCTAAAATTTAAAAAACCATTAGTCTTATAATAATTTAGTATACCTTTTGATATTAATATACATAATGTATACATACTGGCACAGAATAAGTGTCGTCAATTTGAAATTCAGCTGGGTCATTGTCAGTAGACATAACACGGGTAGTTAAAAGATTCAAAAACATTTTTAACAAATCTAAGTTTTCACCATTAACATTGGACACTTGAAATATTGGACAAAGTCTTAAAAACAAAACATTGAAATAATTAAATATTAAAATTTAATAAATACTCTAATAAATATTATATAAGAATTATAAAGATCCATACCTCTGTGAAACAAAATTAGTAGCACTCACAATGACATCATCCTTTGTTTTAACCATTACTGGTACTTTTCTACAACCTGGTGACTTCAATATACGAACTAATAACCGTAATGTATCTTGAAGTATATTAGGAGGACACATATCAATTTTTGTTACAACTACAAATACTGGAACACTTAGTGCTAATGCAAGACCTAAATGCTCTTTAGTCATTCCAATTATTCCAGCATTCGCTCCAATCTGAATAGAATACAAATTTAAAAAAAATGTATCAATGTGTAATTATACATCAAATTACCATTAACATGCCAAAATCTGGCATATGTCCAGTCATACCAAACACAGTAGTCTTTAGGTAACGTTCATGTCCTGCCAAGTCAATAAAGGTAATCACTTTAGTTGATTTCTCACATATTTTTACCCAATCTAATGATCCATGTTCTGGCCTATTTACAACTTTTCCTGTACTATCAAAACCAAGAATATCATTGCCAACTGAGCTAGTACGTCCAGATTCCATTTCATGTTTGTGTCTGAACAACTTTAATCTTGCATGTCCTCGGCCATTATCTAATTCGCCATGCGTCAAAACACCCAATAATGTTGATTTTCCAGCATCCACATTTCCCACAACTGCTACCCTAAATTAATAATGTATAATAACGTTTTAATGTATGTATTCAAAATAATGTTAAATACTTCAATACCTAATTTCAAGAAAATCTTGAGATTCTAATCGTTTTCGAACAAGGTACTGTGCCGTACAAGCACTTCCTTCTGGCTTTTCTCTAAGAAGAACACAGTCTGCATCTTGAGTTGCAGCTAATGAATGTAATGTAGCTACAGAAGCTTCAAATTCATCATTAGTCAAGCCACAACCGTCATCACCAATACCCACATTATATATAGTTTCTCCATGTCCTTCTTCAATTAGTTCTTTGAGTTTATGCTGCAATGTTTCAAATTGCTCTTCCGTTGGACTCACCAAACTTGACTAAAAAATTCAAAAAATTAATTAATTTCAATTATTGTTTCTAACATAACAAATTAAAATATTATTCATTTTAGATTCTGAATGAAGCAAGGGATCTATTAGTTTTACTATGTATATTTTTTTTCTGTTTGTAAACAATTTTTCTCCTAGAAATCTTGTTCCAATCAAAAAATAGCAAGAGACCATTTTTATTGCATTTTGACTCTAGTTGGTACTTAAGAGAGGTCATTTTTAAAATTCTCATTAATATTTGAGATAATAAGGAAATACTGGTTCTTTAGGTTAAAAAAGATTAAAAATAAGGTGGTCATTGGCAATTGTTATTAATAATTATTTTATTATTAAGTTTTAATTAGTTTAATCATTTTTAAACAATTGTTGTTGTGAAAACACACATTGTTGAAAAAGCTGGGAAAAAAGCAATAATATTGACTGGCTCCGCTCAGAATCATTTTTTGTAAACAATGATTTTTCGCGTTGATATAAATTAAATTCACCTCTATATCCTACCTTATCAACTTCCTACCAACAACAGAGGCCGCTCGTCCCCAATATCAGTTCTTTTTTTTATAAATATTTCGATCTGAGAGAAATTAAGAGAGTAAACCACCTAGACTAACATACTATTTGGCATTAATACAAATTCGATATTGACCTTTGTTATTATTTTGAAACATTTTATTCTGTTCATTCAAAAATAATTTACCTTTCCACGGATACTAGAATAATCGACTGTCTTCAATGCTTTTTCACTTATTTGATGTTTGTTGTCCAACAGAGAAATAGTTTTCTCTGCTGTACTTGGAGTCTGTTCAACTATGGTGGCCATTTAACTTAGATCTTGTAGACGAGTATTATTCGGCCAATAACACAGATGGCAACATTGTAAATTGAATATAACTTTTGATTTAAAACTGTTATGAAGAATAATATAATAATAATAAATGTTAAACACAATTGAACATTAATTTTTATTATTTTGACATTATTGTATAGGTACGTAAATAATATTTATATACCTACCACGAAGCCAATAATGACAGTTCCTAATTATAATTTAATGTAATGTACGACTACCTACTATATTGATGTTTACAAAGTTCTAAACATAAATATTTTGACACCTTGTCAGTTATTACTTATTATAGTAGTTGTTATCAAAACATTAAGAATGTAAACGTATGAGTGATTTTCAGTACAGGTTGGAACCTATATGTGATAATTATCATATGGAAAATAAAAATAAGAACAAATAAATTCAAAATACTAATATTAGATATTAATTAATAATAATTTTGTTTCCACTTTTCCCCATTAAACAAATGAACAGGTAAATAATAATATAATGTTGTTATTTATCTTTAGAATTAATAAACCTATCAGTGTAGCCGTTTTGTTATCATCACATAATAATATAGTAATATAGTAACGCAACCAAACAACATGATTTTTTTTTCGTTTTTGTTTTTACGTATCTACTCGAAAATCGACATGTTTCCCAATTTCCATCTAAAAAATCCTGGACCAACAGAAATGAAATACGAACAAATTAAATTAGATGGGTAATGAAAATGATTTTGTTTTTTAAACTTGATTTGAAATTGATTGATTATAAAATTAAAATTACATTTCAATACCTACCTATAGTCAATACGAGTAATTAATATTATTCATTTTGTTTGTATTTGGTCTGGGCTCTTCGATCCCCTTTCTTGCGGGTGGCATAATGACGAAAATACGTTAATACTTAGAAGAATACCAACGAATTACGAATACGCAAGACGAAAATACGAAACGGCCGATTTCATATAGGTAATTGTATATTTGTATGGTAAATAATGATAGTCATATTAGAACGATAAATTGGACGTTCTATTCACATCGCGTTAAATATAAAAATTACCGTCGATCAATTCCCAAATTGGCGCAACTACCCCTCCCCCCCTCCCGGAAATATGTCCGTTGGTCTGACCTCCGATCAAATAACTCCCGTCGTACGGTTATCCGAAGGTGGGCCCCGGATTTCTCTTTTTTTATTTGGCGACAGGGCGGGGAGTGGGGGTGTGTGGACTATAAATATATTATTTTTAAATGATAATAGTGTTTATTTTTAAACATGTACGGAAGTCCAAAAGCACGCTTGTTCGTGATCTCCAATGCACTTGTTTGGCGTATGGTTTACGATACATTATGCGCAATGAGGTACGGTAACGGGCAGTGCACACTGTAAACGTTCCGTGTGTTACATAAACTCTGTCCGTACGAACAGCGTAACGGTACATTATCCGCCTTACGCTGGCCACACACGTTCCGGTTTGCCGGAGAGGTTGGCCTGCGCAGTTTTCCCGGAACGTGTGTGCGACAAGTTTGCGCAGTTTTCGGGGACTGTACTTGGCGGCCGGAAAAGAATCGAAAAACGATTATTTCCTGCCGGCGCAGTCGTGTCTGCACAGGCATACCGGAGCGTGTGTGACCGTGTCGTTCGTTACCGTTCGACCAGCTGGTTTGCTATCGAAACATCGCACACTTACACATTATATCTGGTTTTGTTTGCATTGTTTTATTGTAATATTTCAATATGTTATATGATACCACAATGTTATAACGAGCCGTGAGATATTGGTGGAATTTATCGATTTGTACAAACCGTATCCATGTCTACGGCAGATAGAATCAAAGGAGTACCAAAGCTACGGCATCGTCGTCCAGTGCTGCCATTGTATGCGAATTTTAAATATCAAAAAAAAACTGACGAAAAAAGGACGAAGAAAATACGAACAGAACGTGAGTACACAAGGGCTGTGGACCGGAGACTGGCGACTGCACAGCCTGGCCTCTCCGGCGACCCGGAGCGCGTGTGGAGTCGCATCGTCGTCGTCGGAAATCGGTTAAAACCGTGCAGATTAAACTGCACAGTCTGACCTCTCCGGTAAACCGTATCGTGTACGGCTAGCTTTGAACATGTACGATGTATACGGTGTACACGGTATCCAAACAATTTACGCATTGTGAGCGGTGTACTATGGATTAAGTATTCATATTACCGTAATCGTAATCGAGGGATATTTTTTATGTCAAACGTCCTGAGCTCCGCGCGAGCGAGTCACCCCCCCGCCTGGTGGTCTCCCACTTCTGGACGCAGGATGTCGAATTATCAAAATATTTATATACTCTCTTTGGATAATGCACGATTAATTACTGTATAATTTATCAATTCGGGTTTTTGGAATTGCGTTAAAAACGACGTCTCGGTGCCAATAACCAGGCGTCCTGCCAGACTTCGAATACTTAAACTAAAGGGGACTGATTGAATCCCCCTAAATAAGCAGGGGGACTTTGACCACTTGGTATATAGCGACCAATTAAATCCTATGGCATTGCAATATGCTAATGAACCAACATAAGAAATAATTAACGAGTAGGTACTGCTAATTTAAGGTTGTACAATAATATAAATAAAACAATATGTTAAAACCGGGTGTAGTGCACATCGCCGCAAGATGTTTTTTTTTTTTCGTTTGAAACCTAGCGCCGTGTCTTAGTTGTTTTTCGACGTACGCTTGTGTGATCGTCACCATTACACATTGGCCTATTAGGGGAACTTCATATTAAAAGTACACCCATTCTGATTTTTTGATCAAGTATATCTCGACGGGATTTAGTGATAGAAGAGTAGTTTTAACGCCAAACCATTTGGCTTCGTGTCCCGCACAAGTCCCCTCCATAGTTTAACACCGTAAATCCCTTCCAAAGGATATAGCCTGGAATTCGTCTGACCATCGCCAATCTTTGGAAACGATCTCTAGATCACCAATCTAAACCACCCTTATAAAATTTAGTGTCAATCGGAATGGATCGAAAAAAATAATTTTACTCTAAAGTAATTGATGGTGGGTCAGTAATATTTAACTTTTAACATGAAGTGTCCTTGATAGCCCTATGTGTAACAGTGAACATCACACTTGCGTACGTTGAAATATAATCGATACACGGCGCTAGGTTTCAAACGAAAAAAAAAAACACATTGTGGCGAAAAGTTAGCGGCAAAGTTCAATTAAAACCTACACAATATACGTATATATAATATTAACATCTTGCACAATATTATTATAACTATTTAATTGGGTTTTACTAGTCTTACTTCTACTAGTTGTACAGATCAGCGATAGTAAAAAAAAAATAATCTATTTACACAAATTGTACACCGTTCCGAGTTTAATGGTATACGCCACACAATGTATAAGTATAGGTACTGCGCATAAATACAATCAAGATTATGCGCGGCTAAAGATATACTCAGCTGTGGTGTATACAGAGTAGGCCATTGTGTTTACCCGTACACCCACCGCGAATACAACTTGGCACTCTGCACACGAAAAAATGTTACAGACTAGACTTGTAATCGACTACACAGATGTAGGGCATCTACTATAAAAGTACACCGATCTAAAAAGTTTAATTTAGAAAAATACTTACACCGATTGTTGCACGCAATTAACTACTATTTATGGTATATTAGGTTGTCCAAGACAGTCCGGTATGTAATCAGGCGGATCGGGTAATATTTTATTTATAAAAATATAACATTGTTGAAGTCAGACTGTTAGGTAACGCCGTAGTTATGATTGATTGACACAAAAAGGGCGTACACTTCTGGGTTAAGAGTCATAACTAATAACCTATTATTCACTATTCCCAGAAATGATTATCGAAAATTATTCTGCAGTCAACTTATAAATAAAACAAAATCCTATACGAGACTGTCCTCAATAATACCTCATACAATTGGATAATATGTCATGATTTACACAATTATTTCAGAAAATAACCCCAAAAATATTTTCCTTAAAAAGTAAAATCTTCATTATTTGACTTGCTCAAATTATTTTCATGTACAGGAATTGGGAAGCACAACAGAATAATTTATATCATGTAGTGTACATAATCATTTATAATTCAGGAACTGTTTTACATTTATAATGATTTAACATTGTGTCTACAAGTAGTTTTATTGTTGTAAAACATTCAATCATATGACAGTTCCGTGATACACCAGAGCATAGAACATTGTTACAAAAAATACAGTTTCTTCTAATTTTTTTTCATAATTAATAAAAAAAGTTGATCGATAAATACCAACAAAACATGTTAGTAAAATAAAACAAATACCTTACTCAAGTACAACTGTAATGTTCAAGCAAAACAAGTTTTATTTGAAAAATAATCACAAATTTAATAAATCAACTAAATGTATATATGCTAAGTTGTAAAAAAAAAAAAAATTAACAAACTAAAAATGATTAACTGCTATATGGAAAATTGTCTTTTTAAACCACAATATAATATTATTACATAGATTCTTAATTTGGTGTTAGGAGGAATATAAATAACTAATTTTTTATCTTATTGCAATTTCATAATAACTGTGTTTTAGTACAAAATGTAATCTAAATCACATCATCACAAATAAATTTATTTGATTTACATTATTTAGTACAAACCAATTATATATTATAATTAATAATTGTGTATGTTTATTAAAAATTAAAATAGTGTTTGAATGTGATTAATAAAACTTAAATATAATTAAAACATTAAACTGATAGATGGAGTCTGAATGTTATTTTGAAACACAAAATAAATCTACAATTAAATACAAATTTGGAAATATCTTATTAGAAACCAAACCCAAAATATTGTAAATTTTTCCTTTGATTAATTAATATTTAAAAGTAAATTAGTTTGTCCAAAAAATTATGTCACAATATAATAATAATGAAGAATTTATTTAGAAATTTAGAAATATTTATAATTAAATAAATTATATATAATATATTTAAATAAAGAATTTAGAAATATTTCTTAAAAACAATTATATCATTTATTTTTTATTTTATTATTACCTGGTTATTCTTTTGTTTTACAAAATTTAATTTAATAACGTATCTTAGAGCAACTTATATTGTACATCATTAAATGATTATTTTCAAACAGAAAAAAAATATCATATTACATAATTGTTTTTAACAATAAGTAATGTTATATTTTGATTTTCATAAAAAATAAAATAAAAGCTATAGAAATATTTTTTATGCATATTGTGAAAGGACTTCATAATTGTGTACTTTATGGTAAACAATTGATAAGTTAAAATAATTTGATAAGCTTCTTAAATAAATTCAAAATGAAAAAATTATGATTCAATAAATGAATATACCAAAGAACATTACATTTTAAAACAATGTTTTTGTTTTAAAATTCAATAATAAAAAGGTGATATAATTAATAATAAATAAAAACTTTTGGAGTGTCAACTCTAGGTTAATTAATTATATTTTATACACAAATAATTTAATTTAAAATCATAATAATATTAAGGTTAACATTTTATAAAAGGGATATCATGGGTTAAATGATAATAAATAAAATTCAACATAAAAATACTAATATATTTTAAAAAAAAGTTCAGTTAAACAATTTTTCTCTAAAGGCATGTTAATAAGCATAAAATATTCACACACCATTTGGATAAATCTAAAAATATCTTAGAAAAGATATAGGAAAATAATATTTATCATTACACCTTAATAAATGAACTAATACAAATTAGGATTGTAGTAAAAGATAAAAATAAAGATTTACAAAAGTTATTGTAAATAACGAGATATATAAAAGAGAATGAGATCCAGAATAATCAAAACTGCAATTAATGATAAATTATGACTTTCAAAATGTTAATTATAATATATTTTTATAATAAACACATTTATTGTGTATTTTGTTAAAAATTGAATGATCTTAAATTATTTAAATTGTGTCCTGTAGATTTTAGATTATATATAATAAAATAAACGGTTAAGTGAAATTTATCCAAATGTGAGGTATTAGATTGAAATAAACAAACACACAAACACATTTTAATAATTTAAAAAAAAAGAAAATTTTTTTTAATTACAAAGTATAAAACTATATATATATATATATATATATATATATTAAAAAAAAAAAAACATGTATATAAAAGGACACAAATATTTTTTTTATAGATTAATATTTAAATAGTGTTGAATTTATCATTATTAGAGCAAAAATTCACAAAAGATAGAAAAATGAAGACTATATATATATTATTTAGTATGTTACTTATCAGTGTTATGTTCCATACGTTCTTCTAAAAGTCCCTGTAATCTTTTAGCTATTACAGGAGGAGAAGGAGTTTTTTGTTTTGCAATTGGCCCGTTAACATGTTCATCAGTGATGTTTCTCTTCTTAGGTATTGTACGCATTGTTATCATATTAATATTTTCTAGATCCTAAATGAATAAAATTTAAAGTACTAATACTTTAGTATTTAGAAATTTTAATTTTATTTCGAGCAATCTTAAAATTATTACATTATATCAAACGCAATTATAAATAATCAATTTACATTGTGTATCATGTTTTTAAAGAGACAACTAATTTAAGGAATTGATGTCATTGGTCAATCAAAAATGATAATTTTAATACAAAACGGTTTTTTTTTTTTTTTACATTTCTCAATATAATTGATACATTTTAATTAAAATTGTTTCCCAATTATAATTTTTTATCATGACATAAAATTGTGTATTTGTAAATTAATTTAAATTAAAAACTTTTCTTACTTTTTTAGGACTCTGATTTATACAATAACTCAACGGTTTGATTGGTGATTTAATTGGACTAACTTGAGCTTCTAATTTGCGTATATATATTGGTAAGCGATCATTGACACGCCGTGTAGTTGGCGATTGCAACTGTGTCTTAATAGCTGGTAAAGGAGATAGTGTGAGGTCAATCTAATTTTTTAAAAAAAAATGTTCATAATTCAAAAAAAAAAATAAGATTTAAATAATTTGTACAATTTTATTAAAAAACTTACACTGTTTGTAGAATACTTTAAAGCATTATCCTTAACCACTTGAACAAATATAGTATTGTAAAATTTAATAAGGTCAATACGTTGTTCACTATTTTGTCCTTCACTTTGGACATGGTCTGCAAAAACAATTACATACAAATATATAGAACACTTTATTCAAAATTATTTTTCCTAAACAAGAAATTTCAAATGCTAATTTTTACTTTGACTAGAATTCCGAGAAGAGATTAAAACACTTCTATATATATGTGAAGCAGATTGCGGTTGAGTTCGATAACATTTCATAATGTTTTGGAAAGACAAATTCCAGTTGACCACCTATGAACATCATAATATTTTATCAATAACAAATATACACATATAAAACAAAATAAACAAAAATATAAATCTTTACTCGACAAATAATGTAGATTGTACACATCAATATCTGATCTAAATGTCTATCGCACATCATATTTGTATGTTCAATAATTACATATTCAAAGCATGTCCAAATCTTCCGAATTAAATCTTCATCATTTATGCTTAACTGATAACATAAATCTTGCATGCGAACTGAAGCCAAATTATAAAACTAGAATAAATAAAAAAAATATTTTAAAATAACTTCAGAACTTTTAATTAAATATTTAATTATATACAAAACAAATATTTTTTTTACTGAATAATAATGAAACATAAAAAAACATTTACTCATTCAATTATGGATTAAAATTTATTAATATGATGAAACATTTTATAATAATTTAATTTAATTTTTACATCAAATATTGTCTATTTTATACAGTTTTTGATTTTGTTTTATGACATAATGAATGCAAATGTGTTGTTTTTATAAAAATCATTATAGAAATGAAAACATAATATTATTTAAACTCTTATCAATCTATATTTTACATTACTTAGTAAAAATTGAATAAAATTTCTAACCTTTCTGAAAAAGAGTCCTAAAGTACCAATTTTTTTCAATGGACCAGTCACAATAGGCAACGATGCACTATTATTCTTTGGTGCAATTGGAATATATTGTCTATTTTCATTCATACTATTTGGTTTAACAACTTTTATAGCATTTTGACCAGGCGCAGGCGATATGAATCTATCAGAAACTGGGCTATCTATAATTTACAACAATGCATATTTTTTGTTTTATATTCACATACATAAAAGTTTAATAAAATAAACAGTTATTAAAACCGACCTTTATGTGTTAAACGATTATTTTCGATCATTTGATTTACATTAGATGTTGGTGCTCCTCCAGAAATAGTAACCAAAGCTATATCTTCATAATGTGGAATAACCTTATGATTTTTGTCAATTAAATCCCATAACGGACTTTTAGACTGCCATGATAAACTATCCAAAACTTGTTCTTCAACCTAAAAGAAAATTTAAAAATAATAATAAATGTTATTATGATGACAGAAAAAAGTTTAAAAATTAATTAATTGTAAACCTACACTATTCAAATGTTTGACCATATCTCGAGGTAATTTATCTTCCACGCGGACAATTACTTCGATTACTTTATAGAAATGGTAAGGATGGATTTGAAGAGCATCAAGTACCCACGGAAATGGGCGTTCTGTATTATAGGCAAACATTACCATCTCCAAACAACATGCAAAAAGTGTCTCATGAAATACACTATGACAAATCAAAGTCTAAAAAACAAAAAAATAGTCAAAATATTATTATATTAAGATAAATTGAAATCTTAAAACAATATACCAGTTTTGTGCACAAATATTTTACTAAGTTTTAGTGATTAGACACACCAAAATGATAAAAAAGCAATATAAATATTAATTTTGAGGGGGAGGAGGGTTAAGTATTATAATTTGATTGCTGATAATCTATCACAAATTTAAATTTAAAGCCCATACATTTAATTGTACAAGCATCTCACAAAATTATAGCTGTAAATCTTTATTGTCACTATTTTGTTACAGAATCCCTGCTTATGTTCAACTATGCTCTAGTCTGCAACACAAAAACTGGGCGGTGGCCCCCATCACTCGCCCACCATAGACCAGTCGTTAGCAATGGATTCTCAAACTGCACTGTGTTGTTGTAATGTTTACATAATAGACGCATATCATGTGTTTTTTAGGTAACGAGGTCCCTTATTTAGTCTACAATTTAGGTTAGGTTAGGGTATATAATGCCATTTAAATTTATTAATTTTTAATAAATAGGGCAATTAATTAGTTTTATGTCTTTAATATCACTAATTAGAAATGGCCGCTAAGATCGCATTGGAAACCAACAACTTTTCGTTACAGACAACAGATGGAGCATTGAGTAACATAGTATTTAATCAACACTACCTTCTTTAAAGTAATATTAACATAATAGGTAATAATTAAAAATACATAGATTTATTTAATTTGTATCTGTACGAAACAATAAACATTTGTTAATAAAATATAATTCATTCCAAACGAAGTATATTTTAAAGTTCTTTGTTTTACAATTTTAATTAAAATTTGAACAACACTTATAAAACCTACATAACGATTCACATTTTCATTTGGCCAATTTTATATAAATAAAAACAAAAAACTTTAAAATGACAAATGTCTATAAATAGCTTGAAAAATTGATCATGCATAGAAAAACTCAACCAAAGTATTTTGGGAATGTTTCAATATTTTGAAATGAATTACAACATAAATAAAAAATAATGAAACTGTTAATGTTGTATGATTTCGTTTTTCCAAGTATTAAAAGAAAACTACACGAAAAATAAAAAAAAGAAAAATAACCTTATCAATACACCAACTAGATCAAAAATACTATAAAAAAATGTTTGTCCTTTAATGATTGAAGCAAGACAAAAAGAAGAAACAAAAAAAAAACATGCACTACACGCTTACTGTAATATAATAAAAATATGATAATTTAAAATTTTAAATTTAATACACACTTTAATGTCATATTTTGGATTTTTTGCTTCTTTTGCAATAATATTTTCAAACAGCTTATAAAACCATGTCTTAGCCATAATTAACCTTTTTTTTGCAAAATCATGATTCAGAGCAGAATTGACCTTACAATATTGAGTGCAAAATTTATTTCCTAATATTTTTATTAGATTATCAATTTCATTTTTCAACATTTCAGAACATGACCTGTAAAAACAAAATGAAAAAAAAAAAACAATCAATTTTTTTTTTTTTAAATTAAATTCTGACATTTTAGCACTTACTTTAACAATGTGTTCAATTTATCAGATGGATAAGGTAGACAATCTGTTAAAATAGATTGTATTTTGAATACCATTTCAGAAGCATTTTTAACAGGAGTACTCTCATCGGAAATGTCAATTTTTGGTTTTAAATGATTTCGGCCAGTGAGCGGTGTTTGTTGATTAAACAAATTATTCTAAAAATATTTTACGCCTCAGTTATATATTTATGTGTAATTTTAATTTTTGTAAATACCTTTTGGTTTTTCATTTCTTTGGCCAGATCGTCTGTTGTACATTCATTTGATGCCCCAATTTCATTATTAGCATTATCAGCTATTAAGAACCAAAACAAAAAAATTAATCTATTAAATTTTAAACTTTAACTTATAGAAAAGTGATGCATATATTAATAAAAAATGTATATACACACACACACAGTGTATTAAATGTACATAAAATGCTAGCTTACAAAGGAATATTCGTTCATCGAATTCACCAACACTCAAAACATATTGTTCATAACGTTTATTGATTGCCTTATAATTGAAATCAAAATTCCCCACATCCAAGAGTAAGTTCAAATTAGGATCACCTTTTAGCACCTTAAAAAAGAAAAATTGGAATTTTAAATTGTACATATCTTTACATACAAATAAGCAAATTACAATATATGTTATATAGTGTAACTGGTTACAAGTAATATGTACTTATATATTATTTAAAAAAAACTACAACATTCCACTATTTTTTTTTTTAAAAATATTAAACATTAAATGATTATTATAAGTCTTGTATTAAGCTTTCGAACATTTTTGCTCTTCAAAAATAATTTTATTCATATAAAATTAAATAAAGAACATTTTAAATAGCTATAAATAGCTCAAAAATTACCAAAACGTTTTGAAAATTTGACCATCATATTATATTTCCTAATAATAAGATATTATGGTAGAGTGAAGTTAACACATTGTTTATTAATACATTTTTTACACTTTACAAAATCATAAATTCAAAATAAAAATAAATTATTATCTCTAACTCGGGTTATATGTAACTTTTACTACAGTTTACAAAATAAATTATAGTAATTTTAATTTTAAAGTTGATTAAAAATGTAGATAATTAATTAATTGTCACAAGTTACAAATAAACCGTAACAGAGTTATTTAACTTTGATATATGTAATTGATTGAATACCAGAAAAGTCCCCAGTTATAAAATAAAATTGTATATTTACATTTCGGCAGTATATTATTAATTAAAAATAAAACATTTATACACAGTAAATATTGTGTACATACAACCATGTAAAGCAATTTTTTCATTATTTTTATTAAATTTTAATATTTCCATGATGAACATTAAATCAAACACAGGCTAATAGAGAAAACATTATTTTGTGTATGTAAAAACAGGAAACACATCACCTTTTATATTGATTTTATTGAGAAGTATCTAATGATTTTCCTCGGTTTATTTTTTTATTATTATATGTATATAAATATACAATATTTATTTACTATATGTCAGAGGCTTTTTTTATTATCAAACAATACTCAATATTACAAAATATATTCAAGTTTTTAAATATTATTATTTTAAATACTGGGAAGTTTTTTTTTAATGACAAACTGATTACTATCCATCTTTACTTATTTAATAATAACTACTTATTTACCTTTTTTTCAATCAATTTTTTTAGATTGTTTTTCCAAAAGTACTCCTTGATTACTTTTGCATCAGTAGTTATACCATCATAATGTTGGCACAAATAATCAATTATACAAAAGGGTTTAGAAGGTGGAACATAAGAAGCCTTTTCAAAATCTTGGGGTAGACCTAGAAGGAAAATTTACATAATGCCAAATTTATGACTGAATAGTATATTTAATTACCTAGTCTCATAATCTTACCTCCAAATGATTTGTTCAACAAATCTCTTAAATCGGCCATAAGAACATTAGTATATACATAATCACAACAAGCCAATAGTAAATGATACGAGTTCACCAAATTTTCACCCAAATTTGGAAATTCAGATTTAGCAACAACAAACAATGTCCAGCAAAATTCAAAAAGTTTAGCTGCTGAACATGTTACTCTAAACAAAAATTATTTAATTAATAAATTTGGGTAATTGATAGTAGAGGAAGATTGAAAAGTAGTTAGATACAATTAAGAATGATATGGAGGAGATTAGGTAAGTCGAGTCAATGGAAAGTTTAGAATAAGGGTGGCTGATTACAAATAATTAATAGTATATGGAGAAGAATATAATTAATATACATTGGCCTACCTACATATAATATGAATAAATGAATTAACGTACTTTTGCTTTTTAGAAAATCGAAACTTGGATTGATCATCTTTGATATTGTTAAACATAGCTGTAAATATGGGTTGAAATTTTTTAAATATAACCATTGAAACTGCAAAGTTTTTTTCCAATTTATCAATTTTACGGCGCAATTCCGTTGGCATATTAATCATATCAGCCCATTTCTTGCTTTTTCCAATAAAATGGATAAGGCTAAACAAAAAATTTACTTACTTAAGAAAAGACATCTTTACATAAATCTTAACTACCTAGTATCTCAAGGGTTACTTACCTAATATTGCATAAACGGAGGAGTCGTGTTAAACTGACTAAATTGCCCTCGATCAAAGTTTCGGTATCTCCAACTGTATGTTCAGTGACATTACGGCACGCAACATAAATGGCACAGGCCAACCAATGGCTCACATCGCCCTGCAGAGAAACAATACAAAACCTATTAGATCATGTTTTCGATTTAAAAGGTACACTGCATGTAGTAAAAATTTGGAGGAATGCATTACGTCCAATGAATAGTTCTCCCTGACGGTCTGGTAAGTTTCCCATGCCCGGTTGGCGGCATTCTTGTCCAAGTTTAAGCCCTTGCAGAGCTCCAGGTATTTCCCGTTGTAAACGTCTTCGTCGTGCACCGTACCGACGGGTACACCCATTGTGTACCGATAATTTTCGACGTGCCTACTACACACAAAAAAAACCCAGATATGTCCTCAACGATCAGCCCAACAATTTCACTGCCCGACCGATTACGGCAGATCTGACAAACAGCACATAACTATAGGTACGCACGGGAAAAAAAAAATATACAAAACGAACGTACAATAATATTCAAGAGAAACGTTTTGGTATTGGGTATTATTGTTATTCAATGGTTGAAACGCGGACGGCGACGGCGACAACAAAACGGCGTAGGTAACACAACACAGGCCGGCCGTACGCAAATAACAACGGCGGCGGCGGCGGCGGCGGCGGGGACGACGACGCTAACTACGGTACGCGCGAATGTCGAATGTGCTCGTAAGCGAAACAAACGATTAAAGTTGTATTAATAATGTTTACGCGTAGCGCGTTCCGCAACCGTGCCGAACGCAGACAAGTATAGTTTCGAATGGCATAAACGAAATGATGGTTTACGCAAATAGAACGGTATGGTGATAATCTTTCGCGGTATGGCGGGAAAACGGGCGAACAACAAAAGCCGACGATCGACAATAATAACAATAAATATAATGGGGTGACACTATGAGTGTCTGGACTGTGGACTGTTTGCGCGCGCGACTGAACACGGAATTGACGGGCGGGCGGTAGTGCGGTACAATACGTGACGTCACGTGCAGCCGATAGGACCGCGGTTACCGCGTTTTCCTTGTTGTAACCGCGACATTTTGGAGGGAAACCGAATATTCCCGCTGCCGCCTCCGATGCGTCATCGACGCTTATCGGTATTCAATAATCGATTGCCGTTGCACGCGATTTTACACACGTAAATCACTAATTGTAATGCAAATCTACAATGTTTACAATAATTTATAGGAATGAAATTTCAGAAAAGGGTTTTAACGACGCGCAGAAGTTCTATATTATTCCTATCGGTGTTTGGAAAGAATGTATTCATTGAATATCGTTATGTTTTAGATGGATCATGGATGCATTCACATCTATGTACTTATTAGTTACCTATTGATTTTATTTGAAAGGAATGGTCAATGAGAATGTAATTCAATTTATGTCGGAATATGAATCCAAAATTTCTATAACATTTTAATGATGGAATTCTAGAAAAAAATATTATCTTTTATCATAGGTAGTTAGTCTAAAAAAATTCGAACAATGTCAATATAGGTAGCTACGATAATATGTTTACAAAGTAAATTTACAGGATACTATTTCTGTGTGTTTGGTAATCAATTTAATATTTATACTAGGTAGGATTAACGAAAGGTTAAATATAACTTATTTTTTTTTTAGTGCACTTTGAATACATTTCAAATATTGATGAATGTAAATATGAGTAGGTACCTATTCCTTATGAAAAAAAATATTTAAATTAGCTTTGTAATGGAATTATTTTATTCAACTTAGGAATATTAAAGGCATTATTTTCTAGTAGAAATTTTCCAAACACTGATTCCCATAAAATATACTTACGATAAAACTAGGAAAAAGATGCCGCGGCAAAAAAAAAAAAAACATGAATGGTTAAAAAAAGGGGGCATTATTAACCAACGTTTCAAAAAAAACAATTTTTATTAAATACAATATATTATTATGCTGTACAAAGAACACTGTTCGCTACTTGTTCTCGACCCGATTGCATTGTTATAAATGTAGGTAGGTATAATTTATTAATGTATTTAAATACCAAATTTTAATATTTTGCATACAGTTGAAATTTTAATAAAAGTAGACGTTCAATGTACCATGGAAAGTAAGATCAAGAATCGTTCAAGCAAAACCAGCATTCGTGAATAAAAGAAACCTATTGTGCTTTAAAAACATGGACACAAGTGTAAAAAAACGGCTTATAAAAGTATATGTGTGGAGCGTCGCACTATACGGTTGTGAATCCTGGGTAAAGATTGAACAAAGCGGAATAATAGTTCCTCGAAAGTTTCGGGATGTGGTGCTGGAGATGAATGCTGCGAGTGAGCACTGAGCTGGTCAGAAAGAAAAACAAATGAAAGTGTATTAGGCATACGAAATTGATAAAATCGGGAAATTACTTAACACTATCAAAGAAAGAAAATATTATATGATCGGCCATGTTCTGAGACACGAAGATGAGCTTCTATACACTAAGATGATGATGAATTTTTAATTCGAAAACCGATTGTATAGTACCAGGTGATTCATTTAAGAGGTACATTCGTTATCTCAGAAAGTATTAACTTTTTCCAAAATTTGTTTTCTAGAACATTTAATAAACGAGCTGCTCTACAATTTTATATGTACGCTATTTTTTGTCACCCTTATTTTTGGGAGTAAAGCTACTACTTTTATTAGCATTATTGAAACGCCGCACGCCGTACACACAAATGATACTCCACTACTCTCTTCCAACCAAAACTTAGAAGTGGAATATCTCGTAAACCGATTGCCTGAAGTCAAAAATGTCAACACCAAAATTTATTTTAACTATTTTATCTATTTATGAAATTTTTAACATAGGTTGCTATTTGAAAATCAAAAGTAGGTAGTGGTTTTACCCCCGAAAATAAGGGTGACAAAAAATAACATAATTATAAAATTTTAGAGTAGTTTGTTTCTTAAATGTTCTAGAAAACAAAATCTGTAAAAAGTTAATACTTTTCGAGATAATGAGTATACCCACTTAAATGAATAATTTAAATTAATCATAAAATAATATAAATTATTTTAAGTATATTTTACATAGGTACCCAACTTACGAAAATGACAACCATTGTTCAGAGTATGTCAGCTTTTATAAATTTGTCTTATTATAATTTACCTTAAAATTATGTTACATCTTTTGTTTTTTTAAATTTTCTTTTTATACATACTTATTACTTTAATTTGTATTTATAATATGTATTATATCTATGATCACAACGAAAGGGGAATCAATCTTATTATATAGGACAGTGCCTAATAATATTTTTTGTAATCATCGGTTTGGGTATTATCAGTGATTATATATAAATATACACATAATCAATGGTATGCATTTAATATTTCTTTATTAATAATATTAATAATTATTAAGTATAATTTTAAAGTTAGGTACTCATATCAAAAGTAAGTTTCTAAGATGATAAACAATATATCAATCACCTATATTATACAATATGATAATAATAATATTTATTTATTTTCCAACTATAGTATATAAATATAAACAAATAATATATGTACAATTTAATATACCTAGGTACCTGATGTAGTTAATGAAAATATATACCTTACCATTCTTAAAAACATAAAGAAAAAAAAATTAGATATTTCTCTCCCACCTATTTTCTTCATTGTTTATATCATTACAAATCTTTCTGTTTCAAAATTCTCTATTATATGAGATGCTCAAACCATCTTAGCCGTTTCCTTTCATTTTATTTATAATCGAACTACTACATCTTATATATGTTAGGTTTTAATACACATTTAAATAATAATTAAATAAAATAAACATAATATATTTATTTTACAACGACTCGGTTAGGTTAGGTCTCTGCCGTTTTCGCGAGACGGCTAACCAAAATTTAATTCCAGATTCTGAATCTGCATTTGTTCACCGACATTTTGTTCCATGGTAGAACTTGGCAACATAAATCAAAGTATGTTTTTACCTATCCTAAGCTCTTGCCGTCCTTCAGTCGGCTTCTTATCGTACATTTTTGCTTATTTAATGCCTATCTAACGCCGCCTTTATAGCAATATTTTCATTTTACTGAACCACTGGGCTCTGTTATCATTTATTGTCAGCGGAGTATACGTGATATTTTTGTTTCTGTTTGGTTTTGGTTACGAACGCGAACTAAGATATGCGGACACGAACTGAGATTGTATTATCTTCATTCGTGATTTTTTTTGTAATCATGGATTAAGATTGCAATTGCAGAGTGCAGGTTTAACCGAATTCACAGGTTTAACTCATTAGTCATCTTAGTAGTTGCATACAAAACGTCATACTACGTTTTCCCGTTTTAAATACCCATTATCTATAGCATAATTGTCTATGGAGAATACCCGGTGGGGATGGACGGAAAGTCAGTGTTAATGCGTTATTACGGCGATTAGTGTGTTTGGTGAGCAGTGGTTAAAAAAAGAAAGTAAATACCAATAAACAAGTTCGTAGTCGTTGTACGGCAATGCCTGTGATTACAGTAATATAATATTGGGTACGTGAGTTACCTAGTGTCACTTCGTCGAGTATTCCTGATCTACCTATATGAAAAAAAAAAAACTGTCTCGTGCACCTTAAAGTTGTGATAATTCACAGTTCATGGTGTAGGAGTTAAGTGAGTAAATTAAAATTACATTTCTTTTCATCTAGTTAATTATTGATGGGGGGTTTTTTATTGTAATTAATTTGCAAATAGGGTTTTCTTTATTTTTCGGTAATTTGACTTGTCTAATGATAATATAAAATATTGTGTTTATTTAATATTAATTTTACTATTTTTGAAATTTACATGTAATACCATACGAAAACGTTAAACAAATTTTAGCTTTTAATCTAGTAACTATCATCATGGTAGATTGTCATATATTTACAGTACTAGGAAGGATAAGTTATTTGAAATATTTAATGTCAACTTCCGCATAATTTAAAACTTTGAACTGTTGTGTGTACTTAATTTTTTTTATTGATTGATAAAATTAAAAACAGAATTAAGAATTTAAATTACCTAGTTGGAAATACTTAAAGTATCAGTACTATTCCATCTAAAATATAAATTGAAAAGACTGTCATACTGGAGTTGTTGTGTACTAGACATAATAACTTAGCGTAACTTACTATGTTATAATATTATAATATTTATACTTCAGATATATTTTTTTTATTACCTATCTAGTCAATCTGCTTGAAATATATAGGATATTATATCAATGATTATTAATTATTTCTATTTTGTACATTTTGTATTACATTGAATACACCGAATACCTAATTATTTATTTGTATTATTACATACTTTATTTTTCTTTTATAGTTCAAAACTCAACCATCATAAATATATACTTGTACATCAATATTTTGTAAAAATATTAAAACTATGAGCAGCAATACTATAAAAAAGTCTAATGTTTTTATTTATGAATTGCCATATACCGAACGTATGGAGTTTTGTAATATAATTGACATGAACAATGAATGGAAAGATTTAGGTAAATATATAGATGTACTAACATTTGACAGTTAAGTTAATTTGATTTTTCGTAATTAAGAAATTAAATGTGAAATCAAATATTTTTAGTTTTGCATGTTTGATAAACATACAAAAATTAATAACTATCAATTATTATAAACTTTTATTTTCTAGGTGGCAAGTATATGAAATTTGACTGTGCAACATTATCTAAAATAGATAAAGCTCCCATGAGAAGCCATTCTTTCACTGATGAACTTTTAACTTTATGGGGACAACAAAATCATACAATATTAGAATTATTTATCATATTATATAAAATGCGACATTATCAAGCAATGACTATACTTAAACCATTTGGTATACATTTATATAATTTTACTTTTTTATTTTACTAATACTGACCATTATTTTTTACCTTTTTAGTTGATACTAAATATCACAAATTGATTTATCAGGGCAATCAAAGTTTCAGTAACTTAGTTAAAAGTGAAACCACCAATTTACATGTAAATAATTATTTATAATATGTTAATTTTATTTTTTCTAGGTGTTAAAATTATAAAATACATAATAAATTTAATTAATTATTATAATTGTTTGTGTAGTAATTTATACTACTATACAGTCAATACAGTTTAATTTAACTATTAATATTTGATGTTTATAATTTATTTTTATAGGGTGGAGTTGGTAATCTCATTCAGTTTAATACTAATAGTAACGAAATAAGAAATAATAAGTTTAAATGTGATGATTCAAACAAATCAAGCACAATAAATGAAAAAACTTACCCAGATCCATCAATAATTTCATCTGTTGAAGCATGTTTACCTTTGATTACATACAACGAACTAGAAAAAGCTACTAACTATTGGAATAAGGAAAATATTTTGGGTAAAGGAGGTTTTGGCATTGTTTTCAAAGGCATGTGGAAAAACACTTTAGTTGCTATAAAACGCCTCGAAGATCAGGTTATAAAATACAAAAGTATACTTCAATAAATTTCTATAGAATATTAAGGCATAAAGTTGTTTTTCATTTATTTAGAAAGGAGAAGCAAAACAATTTAATATTTTAGAAGCACAAAGACAACAATCTGAGAAAGAATTGAAATATTTAAATTCTTGTCGACATGATAATATTTTGTCATTGTATGGATTTAGTATTGGTGGTGAAAAACCATGTTTAGTTTATCAATATATGGTTAATGGTTCTCTTGAAGATAGATTGCAATGTCGAGTAAGTTTTAAAATTAATTTTATCTGCAATATTTTCTTAAATAATGGTTATTTAAACAATCAATTTAGAATTTTAAATCTAATACGCAAATAAAATGTACAGTAAAAATAATGAACCCAAATTGTACTGAAATTTCAGTTCTTATTTTTTTTAATGTTATTTTAGGGGGGAACTGAACCTTTGACTTGGAACATTCGTTTCAAAATTGCTGTAGGATCAGCCAGAGGCTTGCAATTTTTACATGGAATGGATAAACCTTTAATTCATGGTGATATTAAAAGGTGACTTTGGATTTGTTGGTTTTGATTTATAAGGGTAGAATAATTAAAACTTAATTTTTACAGTGCAAATATTCTTTTGGATCCATATTTTGAACCACGCATTGGTGATTTTGGATTGGCTCGTGAAGGACCTCTTCAAGAATACACTCATGTGAAAGTTAGTCGTGTTCATGGAACAAGGCCATATCTTCCAGATGAGTTTTTGAGAGGGAAAAAATTCTCTACCAAAGTTGACACTTATAGTTTTGGTGTGGTATGTTTATTAGTATAATTGTGTAATAAATTATCAATTGATATGGAATTACATATTTTTGAATGTTTTGATTAGTATAGAAATATGACTTGAATCCTTACTCTTTGTCTCCTTTGTCTTCATTCCAATATTTGGTGTTAGCTACCAACGTCCTAAATTTTCACTTGACCCAGTTCCCCACATATCGTCCTCGAATACACCAGCTCTACTTATATCATTTTTAATTGTATCCAACCATCTCTTTTTAGGTCTTTCATCTCTTCTTTCCTCTTACATCTATCTTCATTACAATTTTTACTGTTTCTGGTTTGTCTCTCTTCATGACAGGCCCAAACCACCTCTTTCTTATTCCTTATTTTATTTTCTCTGGTCACCCCACTCATCAACCTAAGCATTTTCATCTTTGCTACACTAATTTTCTGTTCTTTTTTTCTGTCTACCACCCAAGACTCCATATGTTACAACATAGTAAGTCTCTCAACACTTTAGTAGAAATTAACTTAAAGTCTCATTGAAATTTCCTTGTTGCATGAAACATACAATACGTGACACTTCTCAACATTTTAACCGACCTCATCTAATCCTATGTTCCACATTCTAGTCAAAGCCACTGTTCTTTTTTACAAAATATCCTATGTACTTAAAAATCTTAACCTAGCCTATCAGCGCTTATGGTCGTTAGTTGTCTTGTACTATTTCTCCAAACTCATACTCTGTTTTAATTCTACTTATTCTTAGTCTCTTTCCTTCAAGTATTATTCTCTATTACTCAAGCTTATTGCTAACTTCTTCAAGATTTTTTTCTTTTAAAACTATCATCTATAAACATCATGCATACATGTACCTTGTCTTGTATTTCTTTTATAACTTCATCCATTACAATTTTTGAATCATTTGAGTAAATAAAAAAATAAATATCTGTATGTTGCATAATTAATAGGTTGTAATAATAAGGGGGCTTGGTAATATTTAGCATAGTATCACTTGTAACAAATTAAATGCGCTTAAATAATCAAAATAGTATTTGTTTAATCTAATCTAACTAAAGGTAATCTAGAAATAAATTTAAATAATGTACTTTAATGACCAGATTCTTGTATGAGTCATTTATGCCTGAATTTCAAAAAATCCTGTCCCTATTGCATATTTATATTATAAAAGGAACCTCTATGCAAAAAGTTCAGTTTCTAAATTAAGTCATTTTTATAACAGTCATGAGTTACTGAGTGTGCAAAGGTGAGTGGTATTTGACTATAACTTAACTTAAATATTTCTGTAGTTTCTTATTTTGGATTATTTGACCTACAATAGACTTTTTGGTGTTATTTGGGTCTAATTATTATTTTTTATTTGGAATTAATGGAACATCCCAACATGTTTACAAAATCCAAAATCTTGATATTTGTTTCGGTTTATATTTATTCTTGAATAACTATATGAGTTTTACAGCAGTATAACACAGTCATTGTATTGCTACGACTACAATATCAAATTCAATATTTATTTTTGTCGCAACTAACTTGTATACAAAATGTGCAATTACCATTTACTATTTCTTAATTTTTTTAATGAGTTTTCCCACATCTACAAATAAAAGAAGGAAATAAAAATATTCAGCTGCTCTTGCCTTCCATATTGAACAAATTGAATATAACATGGATTTATGTAAAGTGATGCTAGCTAATTTCAGTGCAGATAAATACATATTTTAGAACTTTTAAGTGAATATTTCTATGTATATTTTGCCAGTTTTTACTGCAAAGGACATGCTTATTTATACATTCTTTAGTGCATGAACTTACAAGCCCTACTTATAATCAATGAGATTACTTTAACTAATCAAACTGTTAGAATTTAAATCATATTTTCCCTAAAAAAAGTTCATTTAAAATTGAGTAAGTTGTCAGTGAACAATTTTATCATAATAATTGAATATTCAATTATTATTATATTTCCTATTATTTACATATTTCTATGTTAATTGTGAATATTGTAATTCAGTTTATATTAAATCTGAATTAATATATAAAAATAAAATTTCATGAGATATATTTATTTTGTTTAAATATTTTTTGATTTTCATCTTCTACTATTTTTCATTTAAACCAGCTAATTTTAATAATTTTATACTTCCATAACATTAATATTAAATTTAATTTTTAGGTACTTTTTGAAATCGTTACTGGACAAAGAGCATATGACAGTTTAAGAAATCATAAATTTTTAGTAAGTATATTACCATTTCTTAGGTACCTACTTGAATTTCCAATAAAATTATTACTTTTTTATATGAGGCGTAGCGAATAAATAACAAGAATTTTATTCTTCAAGGTTGAGACATTGGCTAATATGTCTATATAATCATTAATCATTTTTTTTTATGTATTTTCCCAATTCCAAAATGTATCGCTCTAAACAGTCTAAACAATTGATTTTAGAATATACAGATATTCTATGACATACGGATATTTTGCAACTAAAATTATAGTTATGCGGGTTTCCCTTGAGAAGATGGCATAATTATATTCAACATGTTATTTTTCTATAATTTATTATTTTATTTTTATTGACGTATGTGTGTATGTTAACTTTTTATGAGTATTATTATTTTTGTTAGTATAGTTGTTTTGGGGATTTTTATTCTGATGACCAGATTAACATATTAAAATTGCTGAAAATAACTTAGATAGAATAACTTTGTTTATCGGACCATTAAACGGTTCAACGAGATTAATCCTATAGAAGATAGATCAAGAAGTGGACGACCATACTAAATAAAGAATTAAAACAGCAGTCAAAGCTGCCTAGCATTGAATCTGCAGAAATCCACTCTACAAGCAAAAAAAAATCATAGTCTGAGAAATGAAAATTCCACTAAGAACCCTTCCACACATAATTAAAAAACACCTTAGTGTTAATCTTAGTGTGACCTTAGCCTTTGTGTTAATCGAAGAAGCACCGGTTTGAGGTTAACAGAAAATGTATGTCAAATTAGAGCGACAAAAGTAAAATAGTTCTCTGGAAGCTGTTGAAAACATTTAATGAGTAGAAAGAGGCCATTATCCAGCTTCAGTGATGGTTTCGTGGGGTTTGTTATTTGAGGGCATTATTCTACTGCATTTTTGCAACAAGGAGTCAAAACTTGTGCGATCAACTACTTAAGCAATATTTTAGAAACTATAGTGATGCCTTTAGGTGATATCATATTTGTAAGAAAGCACTGTATTTTTCAGCGAGATTCAGTATCTGCACATAAAATAATAAAAAAAAAAAAATGTTGGTTGGAGGAATATTTACCACTTCTTAGGATTGACCCTCAGAAAGTCCAAATCTTAGTACTACCGATATTGGAGTATTTTAGAGAATTTTGCTCTAAATTCCATCAAAATAATGTTTCATTAAAAGTTGCTTTAATTAAAGATGTAGTCTCCACACTTTTAGAATTGGTGCATATACTCTGATAGATGAGTGGCCAGATCATTTGAAGTGTGTATAGGAAGAAAGGTGGACATTTTAAATAACATTAAAATTGTTTAGTTATTATGTTGATAACAAATAAATAACATCAAATTTTTCTATATTTATTTATTTGTTTACTATACATACATATTAAAATAATGGATAGAACTTATGGTACGGCCAGATATCATTTTTACAAACAATATGCTTTTGGGAAACATTGTCTTTAATAATATAATAGTAATTAGTCAAAATAGTTAAAAGGTAACTTAAAGGATATTTTATAGGTATAATAAAGTTGGTCGAGATAATATTAATAGTTAATGACCTAGGATTTTTATGTAAAAATAGTTTCACTGTAATAAGTGAAAACTTTTTTTTGAAACCTTGACATTGAGACAAATATGAGTATTGTTCAACTAAATTATTGAACTCTATAGGTAATCGTAATTCTGTAATCAAGTTTTTACAGTAGACATTTTGAATGGAAGCCTGTTTCTGTAATTAAAAATAAATATTTAATACTTGATTTTATTTATTTGAATCATTTTTTAAAATTTCAGAAAGACTATGTTGAGAATTATGAAGGTCCAATTTGTGAAATAGCTGACATAAAAGCTGGATCAGATGATAATAATATATTTCACTGTCTTCTTTCTATTGGTAGAACTTGTGTTATTGATAAACCTAAAAATCGTCCAGAAATGGAACAAGTGTTAAGACAATTGGATTGTGTTTTGTTACTAGATAGACATCAATGTAAGTTAAATACTAGGCACATTAATGATAACATAAAAAAAAGAAAAGATTAATATTAATAATATAAAAAAACAAAAGTTCTTATTTTAGATTAATACTCAATAAATTATCAAGTAGAAATTAAAAAAAAAATATAAATATATGAATAGATATGTATGCAAAAATAAATAAATAGAAAAATAACAAAATATAGTCTATAGGGGCATATATCTGGGTCACTGTTTTTATCTAATTTTTTTAAATTTTACTTTTACCATTCTGATGTATACTTATTATGATATACTAAGTGTACACCGATTATAGTAAAATTAATAGAGTTTTTGATGTAATGTAGAATTAGATGTATTAAAAAAAATAATATATCAGTTTTTAGAATACAAACACTTAAAAGAATTTGTTTTATACAATAATTATCACTTAGTACTTAATTTTAAGAATAATGATTGCAAAATTGTATTTGTAGACTAAAATGACTTAAGTAAGAAAATACTATTTTCACTTTCAAATTAAAATTTAATAAATTGATTTTCCCTATACTATTCATGTTTTCCTTAAAGTCCGTATGAAAAAATATAGACATATTGTGCATAAGTGGGCCATATTTCTGTTTTATGTAAGAATTTGAGAAGGTAAGATATAGGGGGGAATTTAATTTATATATGTACATAACAATAAACCATTGCTTACAAAAAAACGAAAGAGAACTTTATACATGTAAATAATTTGTATATCGTTTTTCTATGTTTTTCTGTCTTTTCCCAATTATTATAAAAACCATTTAGAAAATGAAAAAATAACCTCAATAAAGCACCTTTCAGAAAAAGTACTACACTTGAAATTGGAGCAAGATTTCTGGTAGAAAAGTTGTTTACAGATAAAAAAAAAAAAGTTATAAGCATCATTGTAGACCAATGTACTCCTCGCTACGCTTCGAATCTTTAAATATGTATAAAAGTTGCCCCTCCCTAAAATTAGGACTAAGGATGCCCTTGGCCTGGAGTATTATAGAGGTTCTTTAAAAAATCATCAGGTAACACACAACTTTACTATAGGCTTTATTTTGTTTTTTTCTAAGTATTTATACATACATATTTATTTGTTCTGCAGTTATATATATATATACTATATATAGATGTATATTTTTTAAACTTATTTAATGATTTGTTTTATATTTGATAAATATTATAACTTGAAGCTACAGTCAGGGACAGTTTAATGCCTACATTTCAACAAGAATGCAACAAAGTACAAATGAGAAAAATGTCAACTCCATCTGGATCTTACCATCCACAGCCATGGTTATTTATAGTATGAAATTATTTTATAGTTTAATAATATTTCCGTGCTAATTAATAACATGATTTATTTGGAATGGTAATTTACTAAACATAGTTTTTATTAAAGTAGTACAAACAGATTATTATTATTCACATCTTAAGTATATTTTTCAGTAACAGATTATAGAAATATAAGAAAAAGGAGTCTAACAGATAGAATGGTAAAATTTGAGACAATTTTAATTTTGAAGGAAAATTAGGAATGAAAAGAAAAATGGAATCTCGAAATTTAGAATAATTTTTATAAACAGTGGCAACAACACTATTAAGAAGTGCCCATATGATTTGTTTGAGAATCTTAAAATATTTTAGAGTTTATGGAATTTTCAGATTTTGACATTCTTTATTTTATCATTCCAGTTTTTACCATTATAAATTCTGTGGTTCCAGATTTTGCCTTCAAAATTAAAATTATTCCAGATTTTACAGTTTCATGTAATACCATTCCAGATAATGCTATGCGCCTTTAAAGAAAAATATTTCTGAATTGATTTTGGGAAAACCAGATGTAAATATTAACCAGTTATTTTTTAAGGGTTGGTCCAGCAGACATGTACTGACAATTTAATTTTACATCATTTTATTTTTTATTTACATTATATAATCTTGTAAATGTATTTTTATAAATTACAAATATTAAATAATATTTGTATTTTTTGAATATAGAGTCCAGATCACAGCAATCAACAGTTACCAGTACCTCACACTATTCTTGATCAAAACGAAAGATTGATGCCTCCAATTGGAGAAAATAATACTACACAATCAGAGAGTAATCTAGCTTCAAAAAAATTCTCGGATCTTTCATTAGTTAATAATGAAATATCACCCGACAGACTATCTTTGAATAATTACAATAGCAATTTAGATAGTAAATCTAATTTTATGAATCATGAAGCTAATATCAAAACAAAACATGTGAGTAAAAAGAAAACATTTGGTACACCTATATAGTTATATTTGTATATTCTATTATTATATTTTATTACTATAATTTGAATAATTTGATTATTTTCAGTACCTATCATTAGTAAAGATGGTTATTTAAATACAAATAGTTTACATTAATTATTCAATACCTCAGTATAGTTTGTTTTCTTAAATTTTTAACTAAATAAACTTTTAACTCTATTATTGTTAGGTATTGTAAATTTTATCATAATTTATTGACATTTAATTTTCAAATTTTTATAGAGTGATTCCAAGAATTCTGTTTCTGAAAAATTACCATTAATATCAGCGCTCCAAATAAAAACCAATGAAAATTAAAGAGAAAATTAAATAAATATACAATTTTTATTCAACAAATTTTTATATTTATATTATATTTTTATTACTGTTTTTTGATAGTTAATTAATTATTGTATACAACTCAATTTTTTGTATTATAATAATATTAAGTAATTATTTTATATTTTGATTGCATTATTAGTTTAATATAGTTAATATACTTTATTTTTAAATAGTTATGACATGTAAGTAATTTTAATTTTTGATGAGACTTTTTGTTTTATTACCCTTGTTGATACTTGTAGTTTGAACAACAGTGTAGTGTGCAACTAAGGTTAAAAATAATAATACCTAATAATAATGGGTAATAATACTTATAGAAAAATAATTTGAAGTTCTTGATTTTCATAAATAACCCTTCCTAAAAAATTATATTATTTGAATATAGTTGAAATGTAAAATTCTTTTATTAAATAACTAATATTTTATAGATACAAATTTAATTTATAAAAAGACCTCCCCTAGGATAATGGAGACGGGTGTAGCCACTGTTACAGGTAATTTATGTTTATCTGTAAGCAACAATAAACTGCTAACCAAAAAAACGGTTTTGATTGCGGTTTAGTTGATAGTGATGCTTTGTCAACATTATATATGTCATATTGTGGTAAAATAATTAAATAGGTATTATATATTTTCTTTATAAAATCTGTGTAATATTGTACCGATTTTCCAGTTTTTCCTGCGTTTTTCTCGGTTTTTCATATTTGCTGGGAATAATCTTACTAAAATCGGAAAATGATTTACTTAAAGTACCTTTCCAGTCAGATTTACTTTCAGAAAAAGTGTTATAATTTTAAATCGGAACAAAATTGCTGTAAGAAAAGTTGTTTACAGAAAAAAAAAAATTGCAATATTTTACTAACATATTTTGTACATTTTTCATTTTTCCTCAGTTTTCACGATTTTTTTCCATTTATTGGGAAAACTGCTGGAAAAATAAAAAAAAAAGACCTCCTTAAAGTATCATGGAGATCCATTTTCCCTTCAGAAAATAAACTACACTTGATATAGGTACATAGGAGGAAGATTTCTGGTAGAAAAGTTTGCATAACAAATCAAGGGGTATTTTGCGATTAAAATAGTCCGAGAGAGCGATGACTTGGGTTTCTAGATACACCCAAAATGCATTTAATTTTTCCTTGTTTAAGTAAAAGGGGAAAGAAAGTGTAAACAATTTTGTTCGAAACTCGGGTTTGAAAATCGTAACCAGTTAGATTATTATGGGCATGTATAATCATTAGATCATGACAAATATTATTTAAGAAAGACAATATGGAGTTATTTTACATAACATATTATAATATTCGTATAATGTCAGAACTTTAAAAAGCTATGATTTCGAAATTAGTCCGCTCAATTTTGACTTCACCATCATTCTTAAATCGGTAATATACATATGGTTCGAAAAAAAAATATTAAATAAAAATTAGATTTGTTCCACATAAATTTTTACTCAAACGATTTTCGTCAAAATTAATAATAATAATTTAATATCAAATTAAAATTCCCTTTTAAAAAAAAAATTCTTCATTAAACTCATTTTTTTTTACCACAAAGTAAGACTCTTAATGAACTTCCTGTTCAATTTTCAAGCATTTTTGATAGGTCTAACAATTTTACTATAGAGAATCTACTGAATAAAAATTACGTACAATTAAAATGTCCATAAATAGCTTAAAAATGGCTTTAATGTTTCGAAAATTTTATCTCGTTTAGGAAAAAAGCAAATATAAGTTTTTTATCCAAATTTAAAGTCTACGAATATTTTTAGCTGAATTACAACAAATAACAAAATTAAAAAATAATAAATCATTATTTTTCGTAAATTTCCCGTTTTTCTTACTTTTTATCCTGGTTTTTCCCAGATATTATACAAATTTCATGAAAAATCAAAACACGATCTCCCAAAGTACCATCTGGACAATATTCCTTTTCAGAAATGATGCTGTGTTTAAATATCTGATCAAGTTCTGGTAAGTTCTGATAGAATTTTTGAACACAGTATAAAAAAATAAAACATCTTAGTAAAACCAATACATTCTTTGCTACATTCAGAATCTAAAAATATGGGAACTGAAATTCCATTTTGAAAGTTGTAGAAAATGGGTCAACCAATTATCTTGAATTGGTATCATAATTTTACTTTACTGTAACTTTGGTCGACATCACGACATGTTTTGTGTATTCTATATTAAGACTAATTTTGTTATTTTCTATTACTATTTTATGAGATATAAAGATATAAGATGTAAAAATAATAGTCTAGCTACGCTATTAAAAATAAAATAAAATTATATGCATATAAAAACCTAATTAATTTTTTGATAAAAAACCATCCAAGGTTGATTGAATTTTCCCTTCTTCGGCCAACTTCATAATCATATCTTTGAAGGATTTATGTTGCTCGAATACGTCAAAATCGCCTCTTTGCTGAATCCCTCTATGTAGAACTTAATGCGCTTCTAGCATTTGTTTGGTTGATGGTGGTTTCTAATCAGATTCCTCGTCGTCGCTATCATCAGCCACATTCTCTTTTTACCGTTTTGACTGTATTTCAACACATATGTCTTCCTTGGTAACCAGTTCTGTAGTTTGGACTTCTTCGTCAATATTGATCCCGTTGATATTAATTTATCTTCGCGATAAAATAAACCGGTTTATACAAGTATAATATCTATAAGTATATCTCGTATTTCATTCGTAGCACGTTTGTTCAACGCATGTATTTATTTATCTAATTTTTAAATGACCCCATTAACCAGTGTGCGAGTCGAATAGACGAATTTTATATATATATATTTATAATTACAGGTGGAAAAAATATTTAGTGAGTATTCATTTGCGCATTTGTTACGTTTGTCAAACAATTTAAGTATTTTGTTTTTAATATTTCTTATCAATGTAAAAATAAGTATACTTAATAAAACTATAACTAAATTATTTATTTGTTCGTATTTTGTACTTAATTATTTTTACTGACATGGCTTGCACTTATTATAGGTACTACACTACTTATCAAAGTAGTGTAGTATTTTTCAGTTAATTAGCTGAACAGTGTGGGTCAGGTTAACAATTCAGTTATAATTTTATAAAAAAAAAAAAATCGTGTTATTAATGTATATAAACTTAATGTTAATCTCGAATTCAAATACAAAAACTTTTTCTACACGAAAATAGATTAAAGGATTTGAAAAGAGCTCATCGGTGTTCATTACATATTAAAAAGACTTCCTCTTTAAAAAGAATAGTTAAAATCGTATTCTAAAAGTGTATGTAAACTAAGAACCACTCACTGTGACGTTGTCTGAAGTGCATAAAAATTAACCGGGACCGTCATAAGCGTCTTATTTCTTTGTTTTTATTCAAGAGAGACGAAACGTTGTTCGAAGTTTTATGAAATCATTAAATAGGTGTAGAAGTATCATGATTGTTATGTAATGAACTGATATATGATAGTAATAATATAGTGTTATTTCGCTACATATGAATTGTGTGTTATAAAATACCTTAATTAGTTGTTAATGTGAAAGGATATCCTTCAAGTTCTCTCTTTAATTTTCTCTCAGAGTTTCTCTCATTTTCTTCAAAACGTAAGTATATGTACGTAGTTATAATATGCTGAACAAATCATTTTTTTAAAATAAATTATCATCATTTCAGTTTCAAGTCAAAGTACCGGAAATGTATTTGACAACCTTAATAGGTTTGGTTTTGGTTTTCCAACTTTTTAAATTTGTCTATGTTTGTTATAACTATACGGTTAGTGAAGAAACTAAACAATGTTCAAAACTTTCACACCATACCAAAACAAAACGTATATTTTTCTTATATATATATGATGAATGAGGATACACTGGTTTTGGATACGTAGATAGTTATGCATATATATATATATATATATATATATCACTATATATAACTGTATGTAATTATCTAGAATTTTGAACACGGTGAGGAGAGGAGAGGAGAGGAGGAGAGAAGTGAGTCTTGAAGACAAATTTTGTAGCTGTATTATATAATATATGGGTGCTAACACTTAAATTTTGGACCTTGTTCTTTTATATCTATATGTTCTCTTAGTTACGAAGGAAAAAAAAGACATCCTAGGATAATGGGGGCCGTTGCAGCCACTGTTATAGATAATTTAATGTATACCTGTAAGCAATGATAAACCATTTCTAATGAAAAAACGATTCTCAGCGGAGTTCAGTTGATAGTGTTACTTTGTCAACAGTAAATATGACATATCATAATGAAATAATTAAAAAGGCTATGTTTTTTCATTAATAATATTTGTTTAATGTTATACCGTTCTTCTTGATTTTTCACGTTTTATATGAAAAGTCCTGAGAAAATCGAAAAATGATCTCTTTAAAGTACCTCCCCAGTCGGATTTTCTTTTAGAAACATTACTGTTATTATAAATTGAAGCAAAATTGTTGGTAGAAAAGTTGTCCGCAGAAAAAAAAATAAACATCTTTGTAAAACCATAAGCTTTTTACGGGCTACCTAAAACTAGGTTACATTAAATAAACCACTTAATGGTTAATGGGGTAAATTAAATAATAATACTTTGTAAATTATTATTATTTTTATTCTAATAAAAAAAAAAAAAAAATCGGGATCGTTTTTTTCTGCAATTATTATCGCATTAGACTTCAAATTATTTGAACTAATAATATTTATCCTTGTTTATTGTTTGCTTGCTTTATGATCAAATTAAAATTGAGGTCATTGCAGTACCATAATATGACATTTTGTGCCACTATAAGCGTTGACTTTGACTGACAATTAAACAAAAAAAAAAAAGTAGGTATATATTTCAATACTATATATATATATAGTTACTGCAGTAAATTTTGTTGCAGGAATACAAAGTAGGTTAATATTTAATTTGAATCCCAAGTAACATTATACTATAAAATATAAATGGAACACATAAACAACAATTACTTTTAGTGTTTATATACCGTAATAATATACCTATATATACACGCAATATAATATACTTATACGGCTATACACATGTTTATAATATAGAACGTAACGCATCATGCTATATTTTTTCGTTGGTTATTTTCATCTTGCGAAAATGTATATAATAAAACGTTAAGGCATAATATTACACTTTAAATTGAATACGACTAAGATAAACTGTTTAAAAATTATTTTACTAATGCGGTAGATAAGTAGGTGTCTACCATTGCTCGCTTTCAGATACAGATGAAGAAAACATCATAGTTTATCATAGTTAATTAATTTCATAGTTTAGAATAATAAATTATTATATCTAAATATATTAATTATTTGTTTTAAAATATTATCATCAAATGTCAGGTTTAAACACTATGGTTAAGCTATAATTTGAATAATATAATTTATTATAAACATTATACAAATATGTATAATAAAAATACCGATAATAGTGGGTATGTTTCACACAAAATATCAAGATTGCAGGTATATGTATATTGTCTCAGTGTCATTTAGTGTAGCTTTTACATTATTAATAAAATAGTATAATATATTATATTAATATTCACGATTCAAAATAAAATACTAATGGGAATTTTCGTGTTCCTTTAGATTCTGAGTGGAGCGAGGAATGTATTGGTTTTACAATGATGTTAATTTTAATTTTTTTTTTTTTATCTATGAACAAGTTTTTTACCAAAAACCCTGCTTCGATTTACAAGTGTAGTACTTTTTCTGAAAGGAAATCTAACTGGGGTGGTACTTTAAGGAGATCATTTTTTTTGATTTTTTCCAGGAGTTTTCTTAATAAATAGGGAAAACCGGGAAAATAGGCACAATATTAAATAAATATTATTTAAGAAAATATATAATGTATATTATTAAATATTATTATAACTATTTTACCATAATATAAGATATATATTATATTGTTGATAAAGTAACACTATTAACTGAATTCCTTTTTCGTTAAAAATGGTTAATTGTTGAGTAAAGATATATATTAAATTTCCCCTCTACCTGTTAAACTTCTTACCTTCAACAGTGGCCTACCCATCGTGCGAGTTATCTATATCTTTTTTTTTTCATATGTAACTGTTTAAATCTCATGTCTGATAGGATGTTTAACATTTTCACGGTTAAATTAAAAATATTTTTCAATATTCTGTTTTTTTTCTTTTACTTATAAAAATGCCAGGACGTTTATTTTTTATTTAGTTAAATTACAGCGAGGTTGAAAATTATTAAACTTTATTTATAAATGACTGGTGCAGCCACTGTTATAGGTAATTTAATGTATATCTGTTAGCAATGATTAACCATTGCTAACGAAAAAACGATTCTGAGAGGAGTTCAGTTGATAGTCAACAATATTTATGTCATATTATGGTAAAATAATTAAAATTAAGGCATTATATATTATCTTCAATAATATTTTTTTTAATATACCGATTTTTCTGACTTTTCACATTTTCTGGGAAAACTCCTGTGAAAACCGCAAAATTACCTTTCAGAAAAAGTGCTATCATTGTAAATTGGAGCAAAATCGCTAGAAGAAAAGTTGTCCACTGAAAAAAAAAAAATAAATAAACGTCTTTGTAAAACCATAAGCTTCTTCGCTCCACTCTGAATCTAAAATGTGTATTGGGTTATACAGCACCTACGCAAATGCGACTCAAATAACATAACCATTTAAAGAATGAACATATTAAAAACAAAAATGTATTTGTAATAAAACGTAAAATTTGTCAAGGTTAAATAAGTTGAATCAGTTATATTTTATACCTATTGTATTGTTTGAAGTAAGAACTCATTTAAATATACCATACTTCATTACACCAATAGATATGCATTATTTTAAATAGGAACCCTCTTTATGAACATAATTCGAATTGAGAATATTGTTCTAGAGATTTTAAACACTAATATTAGATTTACCGTTTATGAGTTGTAATCGTTTAAAGTTTAGACCAAAGGAGTCGGAAAGGGTTATTAATTGCATATTTATTTTCAAACGATAAATTGATTACTCTTTTCTTTACAGAAATAAAATTCACTTAAAATTCTCTGAGAAAATGACTGGGTCATGATAAAAAAAGCTGTCTTAGGATACTGGGAACGGATGTTGCCACTGTTATAGGTGAGAAGTTGCGAAGGTAATAGAGAGAAAATTTAATTTATATCTCTACGTAACGATTAATCATTGCTAACGAAAAAAATGAATCTGAGCAGAGTTCGGTTAATAGTGTTACTTTGTCAACAATATATGTGTAATATTATGGAGAAATAATTACATATGCATTATATATTTTCTTTAATAATATTTGTTTAATATTGTATTTATTTTTCCGTTTTTCTTTCTTTTTTTTCCAGTTTTCCTATGTTTTTTCCTGGTTTTTCATATTTCTTTGGAAAATTCCTGGGAAAAATAAATGACCTCCCTAATATACCACTCCAGTCAGATTTCCTTTCAGAAAATGTACTACACTTGTAAATCGCAGAAAAATTTCTGGTAGAAAAGTTGTTCACAGATAAAAAAAAAAAAAAAAATATCATTGTAAAACCAATACATTCCTCGCTTCACTCAAAATCTAAATCATAGTTTGTATATATTTATAGTAGAATATTACACACAATATTTTATAATATATTAGGGCTACCTACTGATGTTGAGACAGTTTATTGGTGTACCGTATTTTTGTTAGAACGTTTTACTAAAAACATGCACCACTACAAGAGGTTTACCATCAGTGGCATAGTCAGGAAAATATTTAGTGGGAGGAGGCCGGGGGTTTAAAATTCAAATTCTCATTACCTTTATGTGACCCAACAGGACTTCTCGTTTTTCAATATTATAATATTTAAATT